CAGCCCCACGATCCGTGTCCACGGCCGCGGGTCAAAGACCACCGCATCCGGGTTGGCGACCTTGTCCTTCTTGACCCATTCCAGGCAGCACGCCACGAGGATTTCCCCGTCCGACTGCACTGGTGCAAATCCCAGGTCATGCAAAATCAACTGGAGCGCGGTAGGCGCCCCGAGGAAGGTCGTCCCAAACGGGGAAGGGAGGCGGGGCCTCCACATCATCATGATCCACTCGAGCCGGGGGGTTAGTCCCTAGGTGCAAACCCCAATCAAACAACAGGGGGGCCCCCCAAAACCCCGGAAAGCCAACCCCGAAACGGAGGGAACGGGGGAAAAAAGGGGGGGGACCCAGGGAGCCGCCCCGAAAAGGGAAAACCAGACAAGAGAGGGGAACCAAGACGCACCCCGGATCAGCCCAAGCCGCGCCAATTTCTCTCGCCTGGTGCAAGTCTGGGCCTGCTCTGTTCCCTGGGGGGGGATATCAGCGCCTTCGGCAGCTGTCCCACCCCCGGGGTGCGCGGTCGCGGTCCTGGACGATGTGCCGGAAGATGGCGTTGTCCCGCATCATCACGCGGCCCCCTTCGCGATGTCATCGAGCCGCCTCCGGATTCCGCAGAATCAGCTCCCAGATGGCATTGGAGACGTGGCCTGTCTGGGTGGTCTGGCTGAATCTGAACCTGGGCACCTTCTGGTCCACGATGGAGACGTCCCGCAACGGGGCCGAGGGCTCCACCCGGCGGTAGTACTCCAGCCGCTCCTTCACCCAGCGGTTGTAGAGGCCCTCCGGCGGCTCGTCCAACACCAGCTGCAAGATGGCCTTGCCGGCCCGGATCTGGAGGAGGCGGGTGCCCCCTCCCCCGGCACGCCAGTACCCTTTACAATACTTGCACATGTAGCCCCCCCGGGTCTCCCCTTTTGTCTTCGGGATGAGTTCCCACGGGGTGACGGAGCTCAGGACCAGGCCACACTCCATGTGCGCCCAGAAGACATGCTTCGTCTCCACCGGATAGTTCTTCTTCCGGTAGTCCTTACCCACCACGCCGTGGACGTTGTCCGCCGTGATGGGGGGGTAAACGATCCCCTCATCGCCGTCACCTCCCCTGGGGCGGATGTCAGGGCCATCGGCACCTGTCCGGCACCCAGGGGCGGAGGGGTCCAGGCCCACCGGGGTGGCGGACGGCTTGTCAGGGCCCTCGGCACCTGAGCTCGTCCCGCCAGAGCCCGAGGCTGAGGAGATGGTGGGCGGCCTGTCAGGGCCCTCGGCACCTGGGCACGCCGCGCCAGAGCCCCCCGCCTTTGGCATGGGGACCCCTTCCAGGTCCGGCAGATCTGCCAGGAGGGCCGCCGGGAAGGGATTCCTACCCAGCGAGATGACCGCCTTGGCCTCAAGGTAGGAGTCCGTGAGGGATGTGAGGTCGTCCATGCTGAAGTCCCTCCATGCCGTTGTCGGCTCGAAGACCCCAGTTTCAATGGCGACACGGACCTGACTAGGCCAAGCACTGAAGGGAGGCGCTATGGGCGCGAGCAGCCTGGTTTCGAGGGAGCCCTTCGCCTGTCTGGCTTGGTGTTTCGCTTTCGCCGCCTCCGCAGTGGTCTGGGCCTGGAGGAGCTCCGGTGTGGGTCTCCCCCAGTCCGCACCCAGCTTGTCCAATAGCTTCTCACGGAAGAGGTCCAAGTCCAGGTTCTTCAGGAGCTGGCCTCCAACACCTCCTCCGTCAAAGGCAAGAAACGTGTGATCCGGCGCCTTGCACGCACTTCAAAAGAGAGACCCGGGAAAAGGCCCCGGGGGGCCCCAAGTCCTCTTCCCGGGTCTCTCTTTCACTCAATGCATGCGGCAGATCGCTTCTTGGACGGGTCCGGGGTCTTTTCGCGAAGCCGGACGTTGGAGGCCCACATCCACTCCGGAAAGTGAAACCCGGGCGGCGCAGGCTCGAACGTTTGCAGTGCTTTGATGGACTCGCAGCACTGAAACTGAAAGGCATCTGTCGTGGACATGTCGCTCAGGTGCTTCGCCAGCGCCAGACCCTCCAGTGTCTCTGCCCCATAGCGCTTGATCAATCGGGTGCCCGCCCTCCGGTAGGACAGCCAGGCCAGGCGCAGCTCGCGGCTGTATAGCTCGAAAGCCGCTGTGGAGCACGTGTCCGTGTTCAAGCTAGCTTCTCGCCCCGCAGCCAGGTTCAAGAACTTGCGGGCCCCAGGCCCAGTCAGGGACCACTGGGAGTCCTCTTTGAGGAGCACCTTGGGGACGCGGGCACGGGTGTAGATGCGAAAGATGTTCTTGGCGCACAGGGCGCCGACACTTTGCAGACCCTTCGCCAGAAACTCCTTCAGCACATCTCGCTTGTTGCGTGTGCATCCGGCCTGGTCTCGCAGGGGTAGTTGTCCAGCATACGCTGAAACGAAGAAGTTCTGTTCGCGCAGCCAGTCTTTGGCTTCCTCCACGTTCTTTTTCTGCAAAATGTGCTGCTTCACCCGCCCCCAAATGCTGAAGCTCGGGAACAACGCGCTTGGCGCCTCCGACTTGGCCACCAGCACTTCTGCCGCGCCCCGCAGCGTCCTTGCCTTGAGGACGTCGCTTAAGTTATCCTGAACCACCTGCGCAGCTGAAAAGCTGCAAAAGATACCCAGCAGGACGGAAATGGAAAATCGGGATCTTTTTGGCACCTGCTGAAGTATTGCATCCTGGAGCAGGGATGTACGATCTGATGCCTCGTAGTTCCACTGGTGGCTTCTCGCCATGGACAGCATGCTAACGCCCGTCCACATGAACTGGCAGCTGTCCAGCCGGAGCGCCGTACGAGTCTCGTACTCGCTCCTGCATGTCACGCCAGCTCGGATGGTCCATAGCATGAAGAAATGCTCCCAAACCGCTTCCATTTGGGCACGCACTGGCCTCAGGTCTGGCCTGGGGTTGGCGTACCTTCGATTTGGCACATCAGCCATGGCCCAGCGCTGCCAGTATAACTATTTCAAATCACAAGACCAAATGTCAAAAGGTCCACTTGAGCCAAAATGGTGGCCCAAGTGGATACTTATTAAGAGTCAAGACAAGCGACCACCTACGGTTAACGCTTTAGCCCAAGAACTCCAAAGCAGACACGTGAAACGCCAACCTGTCATTCATCTACCCCTGATTCACTCCTCATTACACTTCAGGATGGTCCTTTTAGGGGCTTAAGTCTTAGGGAGCATGGTCCTTTTTGGGGGGGCTGTGTCCATTGCCTGCAGGACACTAGACACCTTTGCGAGGTCTGCACTTGGAAACAGGTTCCACTTCCCTCAGTTCGACTCCCAAAAGCGAAATCCTACCCGTGACACGGTCGATCCGCCTAGAATCGGAGAATCGGAGCTCGGGCGAGGCGCGCCTCCAGCGCCTGGACCTTTTGCGCCTCCAGCTCTGGGCTGCAGCTGAACTTCCCCAGGGACATGTGCGCCGGGCCCTTGGGGAACAGCTCCTGGCGAGATTCGAGAACCAACATGTCTAGACCATTGTTTCAACCACCGCCTTTTGGTTCCCACAAGGGGGGCCATGATCCAGTTGGGCATGTGTCAAAACAGTCCCTCCTCCCCCCCACCCCCAAAAAAAAAAAGAAAGGAAGAATTCAAGCACAAGCTCGATCCTTTGTTTTCCCTTGGCACCAACCTGAAAAGGGCACCCTCAAAAACAAGCGCAAACCCATTGAACCCAACCAATTTTGCCCGGCCCCAACCGCTCCTCCCGACCGCTCCGCGCCGCTTCTAGCGCCTCCCTTGCCGGCGCCCCAGGCGGCAGCACGAAGCGCAGCTCGTACTGCGCCAGCTCCATGGGACTGGATTGATCTGTCGGGGGTGCCCCTGGAAACAAAAAAAAGTTTCGCAAGTGCAACTCGCACTTGAAAGCAAAGGGATGCAAAGGGCTTTTGCCATTTGTGTTCCCGCCTTGTGGCTTGTCTTGTTTTGAGGTTCCAAGCCGCTCTGTTGAACAGGGATTGCTCAATGCAGTGAGTAGCTGCAGGCTGCAGCCCCAACCTTTGCAAGGCTTTGCCCCCATCCTGCACTGTTGCCATGCTCCCCAGTTCCTCTTGTTGCTGGCCGGGCTCGGGGGCAGCCCAGAGGCACAATGCTGCGGCAGTTTGAGGAGAAGGCGGGCAGGAGCCGTGTAGCAAGAGACGCGCCTTCTGGGCTCGGCCAAGAATCACCGCCCTAGCACCTAGCAGCTTAGCATGGACCTTTGAAATTGCCTTCCCCAAGTCAGTCATACCGTCCCCCCCCCCCAACCCACCCCCCCCTCCTCACCCAGCCACCCCCGCCAAGCGCCGCTGTACTGGGGATGGTCAACCTGTCTGAAATGAGGCAGCCGGCCGAGGACTCCGCGGGATGGGAGGCCCACAAGCTCGCACCGAGCTGCGCCTGGGCGCCCCACCCGAAGGACCGCTGCATCTTGTTCATGTCCCGGTACCTGCCGCCGTGCGGGAGGGAAAAAAAAAACGGCCAACCAGCCAACCCACCCCGGAAAGCAAAAAAGAAACCTGGGGCTCCAAGCCAGGAGGCACCCAACATCAGCGCCCAGATCCCTTTGCCTCGCGACAGCACTCGCATCCAGTCCCCAAAAGACGTCCGGCGTGGGGCACTTCCGAGCCGCGACCAGGCGCTGCACGTTCCGCTTCAAGCCTCGCAACGAGAGGCGCGGGAACGCCCGCTGGCAAAAGCTGGAACCTTCCCCTTGCATCAACGAAACCTTTCCCCGTTTGACCCCTCATTCTATCTGCTGGTTCGGTACGAAGGTTGATGCACTCTCTTTCCAACAACTCATGGAAGCTGTTTTGACCCTCATTCTATCTCCTAAGTCTCCTAATACTGCAATCTGTTCAACAACTCATGGAAGCTGACAATGGGAGGGGTTTGCATCACAAACCGAAATCCCCAGAACCTCCCCTTCCGTCCACCCGACAAACAGCAGCCAGGAGGGGGGTTTCTGGGCTCAAAGCTCAACTCCCCGTGGATCTGGACCTCCTTGTAGATGCTCAGCCTCAAACCCAGCCCGGTGCTGGGTTCAGCCCGGAGAGTTGGTGACTCGGTGACCAGCCCAACTCAAATTCCCAACGGGCCCAATAGCGGATAGGCGTCCGAAGGTGGCGAGTTACTTGCCATGGCTGCATGTCTTGAGTCTCTCATCCCTTCATGGCCCACTCGTTGGCAAGTCCAAAGGCAAGCCCGCCAAACAGTTCACTTCCCGTGTCCATATGGCCACTTTCACTTCCAGCGCGAGCACAGCAGCGATTCTATACTACCTTCTGATTGAAGGATCATGACTTAGTTTGGTTTTCAAGTCGATTTTTTGCTCAGGCCCTTATGGCAGGCCACCGCCGGGAAGCTTGGGAAGCACCCGAGCCCTGCACATCTCGGAGTTGCCGATGTGCGGCACGTCCACGCCTCAGCCACGGATGTGTTTGTCCTCGTCGTGCTATTCTTTTTAAAGGGGGGGGGGGGCCAGCTGGAAACCTTACTTGGTCAAAACGGAGGCAACCAAGGCGGCAACCTAAATGGCTGCTTCATTGCGCCGGAATCAACTAGAGCCCCCAGGCCAAGCGAAGCAAGCGGATCAAAGCGAAGCCAGCCAGGAATCAGCCACCCGAATGCAAGCAGGCAAGACACGAGGCGGAGTAAGCCTTCCATGTCCACCAAGCCTTGATCTTCCAGGACCCTGAAAAAGCCGGCCTTTGGGAAAGGAGGATCAGACCAAGGCGAAGCGTCCCGGCAAATGAACAACATCCTGGGGCCAGGCGGTCCAACCCATAGGTATCCATTGCAGGTGCAGTCCATCCACATTGATGAGTTCATGTTCGTTCGAGCCCCTGTTTCTTGGCATGCTATGGGTGTGGGTCCAAATAAAACCACCAGGTTTACGTCCATGTGTCCATTTACCGGGTTCCATTCTGGGTACCTATTTTTGACCCACAGCCTTTTTTTGAAAGAAACCAAAAGGACACCAAAAGGAACCCCCCCAATTCTTAGGAACACCCCGACCCGACCACGCGAAATCCGAGCCCTGGGCGGTGAACACCGGGCGGTGCCAGTCGCCAGACCTCGACCAGCACGTGGCTCTAACGGAGCCCCTATTAAGACCCAAAATGCGTACCCTCCAAAGCGACACAACCAAAGAAAAGTGTGGGCCCTTTTTGGTGGGCGTCACATTTTGTTGAGGGTGTTCCGCAATACAAATCGTAGCCGTATCAACTTGGGGCCAAACATCAGAAGCAAAAGCTGCCCTGATCTCTGTTGCCTCAGTCCCTTTAATCAGAAGGCACCTCCAGTGGCCAACTTCCTTCCGGGAGAACCCATAGACCCCCTTTTTCCGGGTCCAGGGCAAGCCTGTGCTTTGCGCTTGTGAGCCCTGTTCCCAAGAAAGCCTTCATGGAGCTTAGTTCGGCGTTCCCGTGGCGACGGCTACGCCCAAACCGAAATGCCGCCGAAGCCACGTTGAAGGGCGTCTTGCCCTTCCGAGTGGGCGGCTGGAACTTCCAGTACCTCACAGCCACTTCCATCTTTTGGCCAGGACTTTTTTCGCACATCGAAGACCCAAGGAATCGACGTGAAATGGGACCTGCCCTTGGATTCGTGGGCTTGCAACCTAAGAAACCCCAACGAGATGCCTGTCACAGGGCACGGGCCGAAGTCGAAGGAGGCCCTACCTGCAGGATGCGACATGCAGTTGCTAGTTGCCGGGGGCTTGAAGGAAGGTCTGAGTTTATGGAGTTTACCGAAGGACGTGAAAACAAACGAACTCAGTGAAAGCAGGCAGAGACCGCCCAAGGGCCTGCTACTTTGACTCCCTGCGCTTCCCGTGCTGAAATTCATGCCCTCTGCAAAGATTCGGGGAGAATGATGTGCAAACCTTTGCAAGGCATGCCGGAAAATAGGTACCCCAAATGGAACCCTAGTAAGTGTGCACATGGACCAAAACCTGCGGTCCCCTGGTGGTTTGATTTTGACCCATACCCATGTCACCACTTCAGCAGTAAGTTGCACCAGGTCCCTTCAAGAAGCTCATGATCCTCAAGTCAAGTTCCATGTCAATTGGATGAATACGCTAATATGCTTGATTGAGCCACTGTTGCGTGCAAGCTGCATCATCTTTCCACAGTCCCTTGGATCAATTGTGCACCTCCGGTCCACTGGACGGTCAAGCAGCTAAAACAAACAGCACTCCGAAGCTTCACCGAAGCTTGTGCCAGCTTTCCCCCCCCCCCCGCCTTTGAGGGAGATGGCGGGGAACAGTTCGCTGCCTGCGACAGCTTGTGAAACATGGTTTTGTGCTAGAGGATGCCTTTTTGTTGGGCCGTGTTCTGATTTCTGACCCAAACACCGTGAAATCAATCAATGGCAAATGGCAGGGTCCAAATCAGGTGGCATGGACATGCACCAACAGCATTCAGAATTTCATTGAGCTCGTTGGGCCCCCTTTCAGCTCAGCCTTTCAAGCCTTTGGCGGGTTGGTGGCTCTGAGGCTAGAAATGGCCCTCGATACTCAAGAAAAACTTGGCCGCCGCAACAAGTTGGTTTTGCTGGTTAAAAGGGACATTAGGGAAACGTAAAGGGGCAAAGAACAAAAGGGTTACCCTCCCGTTCACTGACATGGAACCAAAGTGCCTTTGGCGGAAAAGAGATCTTTCAGACCGTTTGCATCAGGCTCGGCAACGCAACCCTCCTGAGTCTGGCCATGTGGGCAAAAAGAGCCTAAAATATTCGAACCCCTTCGAAGAACAATGGTCACTGGATTTATGATGTGCACCTCAAAAGTTGGCAATTTGCTGGTGGGTTCTTGCAGGCAAACTGCCACTTTCGGAGATTCCAACAAGAGAAAGATATGGCCATAGGTCAAAATCCTGTACCCCCAGTGAACATCCCAATCCTCACTAAAATAGACTAAAATGGGTGGGCACCTACCCCAAAATGGTACCACTGGTTTTGACCCACCCACTACGGGAAACCGGGAAGAAGGTTGGAGGGATCTGCCCCCAAACCTTCCACGCGCGTGCTCCGCGGCCCAGAAAAATCCAATCCCCCCGAGCCGCCGGCCCTGCGGCACCACGTCCTGTCGCTTGGCGGAGGTTTCGGCCGAGAATTGGTCCGGGGGTTTGCGGAACGCTGCTTCAGCTGAGAAGACTCGTGCTGTGTTGGATGTTTATTGGTGATATATGGATTATGTTGTTGTTGCTTTTTATGGGCTACTTCAGCTGAAGCAGATGATGGATGTGTTGTTGGATTCATTCCACCGACCGAAAACATACACATGTGATATCTCTGAACTGCGGCGTGGGCAGCTACGTGGCCAATTCTGCAAAAACCCGAACCTTCTCCTGTGAGGCCCGGCTTGCGTGGGGGCCAGGGCTTTCCTTTTGCCACCTTTCTTGGGACAAGCTCGAGATTCTGCGCCCTGAAGGTCATGCATTTGTCCCATCTGTCAGTCTTGAAACGGCAAGCTGGATGAATGCAAGGCATGCCCGGCATGCCTAGGAAACAAGCACGCGCATCTCCCCCTTTCAACCTTGAATTAGACTTTAAACAAGGCTGATCGATGTGAACTGCGTTCACTCGTCCACTGCCAACCCCGAGCGCTCCAAGACAGATATACTCCAAGGCAACCTTTGCATGCCGGCTCAGCTAGCATAGCACTCAGACGCATGCATGCCGACCTTTGCATGTTGGGTTGTGTGAATGAGGTCACCCAGCACACACCGCGGTCTCCTTGCCAAAGGCGGGGAACTCCATGGCCTTCTCATCCCACTGGCCGTCCGTGGAGAAGTACAGGGCGCCTCGAGGGAACAAGCCCGAAGCCGGCGGTCAGCCCAAGTTTCCCAGCGGGAAGCTCCGTCCGGGCAAATGGAAAGGATGAGTCTGCCACCATGGGCTAGTCCAAAAAAAAATCAAGAAACACACGACCTGCTTCAGTGGAAAGAAGTGACCACGCAGGGAGCCAACTGGCTGTGCCCAAAACCAGCCAAACTTTGTTTGGCACCAGGGTCCCAGCCTGAAACTGGGACTGCTTCATGACTTCATCGTTCAAGGTCCCGGTATTCACCCTATTTTGCACCAGTGCCGGGAAACGCCTTTGAACATGGCTCTAAAACTGCGACGTGCGATCCTTTGAAAGAACGAACTACAAGGACCTCTGACCTTACCAGTTCGCCACCCCTCTTTCACTCAGCCCCAGCCCCGCCCGGCCACACAAACTTTGCCAGACCCCCTGGCAAGAAGCGTTGCCTTCGGTTCCACTTTCCTGGTACGGCGCAGAAGAATCCCCCTTTTCGGGCCCCAGTTTGCTGGTGCCATGCTTGCGGTCTCCTTCGCTCTTTTGTTGGTTGCGGGGGGGGCCGAAGCCTGACAGGCCTAAGCGTTGCCAAGGCGCGGTTGTCCAAATCCACGGCCACGCCGATGGTGACCTTGGCAGAAACCGGTTCCCCCAAGCGGCTCGTAGCCTTGGGTAGCCTTGGCTCTGGTAGATTGTCCATGGTGGCAACCCACTAATTATGCTGACCAAGTCAGTGGCAGGTTCCTGGCACGGCTCAAACCACAGGTTCTGCCAAACCCAAAATCCTAGTGGGCCTTCCCACTAGCGAAACGCACTCATGCACAGGGGTTCCGGGACCCCCGAAAACCAAACCTTCCCTCCAAAGCCGAGGTAAAGAGTGTACCCCCCCCCCTCCCCCCAAAAAAAACAAAACAAAAAACAAAAAGAAACCAAAACAACAATGAAACAACTGCCGCAGAACTTCCTGCAGCCAAAGGGATGACGCACATGCATCGACTCGGACCAGCCGGCGCGCTGGGGCCCCGGCATCTTTGTTGAGCTTCCGGGTGCCCTGCGCCATCTCTCTTTGAGGCAGTTTTAAACGAAGCCGCAAGGAACGCCATTTTGAGGCCCATTTTAACACACACACACACAAAAAAAAAAGAAGAATAGGAAGCCAGCCAGGTTTCTTGTCTGTTCTGACTCCTCTTGAGTCGCTTGCGTCACGCAAGCCAATAGCCAGGAGCTGGCCAAGTGCTCATTCAATCAAGAACGATGCAGGCTGAGTCGTGGACCTCATGAGTTTCTGAACAGAGGGTTCCCCAGATTCTCTTCATACATACGCTTTTCTCGGCTTCGTTTTTTTGCCTTTCACAGGGTAGTGGTCGGGGCGTCCTTTGAGCACCACTTGCCATGCATGGTTTAGGCAATGCTTTCGAAGCAATGAAGAATACAAAGAAATGAATCAAGATCTTGAAAGAAACGACGTTCCCATCTTACTGCCTTGTATGAAAAAGGATGATCCCGATGGCAAAAGACTTGTTAAAAATAGTAGCCCACTAAAAGTGAACAAGAGCAAACAAACAAACACTTTACAGAATAAATTAATATACAAATAAGCAGGTAGGTAAATAACCACATAAACAAACAAACACATACATACACAGCTAAAGAGACAAGTACTCAAATAAAGTAAGTCAACCAACAAGAACTCAGCCCGCCAAGAAGTCCGCAAAGTGCACCATGGCCCCAAACCGCAAAAACCGCCAAACCCGCCACACCCGCCAAACCCGCCATTGAAAAAAGCCGACTGCGGTTCCCAACCGGGCCTCCTGGGATTCCCAGGTCTGGCCCCACGGCAGCGCCTCGCCTGCAAAGGGAGGGGATGGATTGGTGGAAGAAGAGCCCGGCTTCGGTTGGCTAAGGTCCCATTCACAGCCGGAGCCTCACGTTTGTTCATGGGTCCCGGTCCCCTTAAAAGGCAGTGTGTCCAAACCGCGACCCCACGAACACGTTCGGGCAATGGTCCTTTTGAAAGGAACATGGTCGGCCACCAGGACCCGAACAACGAACGTCGCCTGCACATCCCCCCGATTGGATCGTGTATCAGGCATGTAGATGCGAGCAAAACGCATATAGGAAGCTTTGAGAGGAGGTGAGTCTCAAACTGTGGGAGATGGTTTCCCTTTCGATCCTTTCAAGCGTACAATCATGTGCAGGCGAGTTGTTTTTTTCTCGGGCCTTTATCCTATGGACAAGGCGGCTTGCATCTCAGAAGGACCACTGGCCTTGCTCAAATTGTTTCGCACGGCTGCAGAAGGTGATCTAAAAAATGACGGCTTTCCTTGGCAGGATCATAAACTCCAAAGAATATCCATCTGGATGAAGGGGGAGACTGCTTTCCCAATCCACCAGTTTCTAACCTCCGAAATAACCTTTTGGTTTATGGGCAGACAACAAACCGGTTGCATGACAACCGGTTTCCCTCCAAACCAAGCGAAAACAAGTTCCCTCAAAAGAACCTAGGATGGCGTAATGCCGCCCAATGCAAGGCTGGTCAATTTTTGGACCAACATGACCAGGGTCAAGAAGAATGCCGCGCAGCCCTAAGCAACAATGCACCTATTTCTCATGTCTGCAAGGATCGCAAGCACTCTCAGAGTCTCAGCGCAAGGATTGACTCCCTTCCAAAGACCTCTCAGCCACCTTAGGGACCGTGATACTTGCAAAAAAGCATCCCTGAAACGGGGCGGTAGCTGGGATTCGCAGCGTCTGGGGTCACAACGCAAGCCAAAAAGGGTCCGACGAATTGTGGAAGCGGACTAGTCCTAATCCATCTAATCCGTAATCCGCAGTAAAACAGCCTTTTATCATGACCTGGTGATGCCAAAACTGGCCGGTTTCCCTTTTGCATTCTGCGCCCTTAGCACATGGAAGTGAGGCTCAGCCAAGTGGACTGCTGCAAGGGGCTGTTCCCGCAACCCATAAGGCTTATTCAGGATTGGACACCCAAGAAAACAAGAAATCAAATAAGGGCAAACTACGAAACAATGATCTTGCCTAATAACTTGTGCTCGAATGCTTGGCCAAATCGAACAGCTCCCACCTCCGTGCCAGCGGATGCTGCTCTGGCCGTCGACAGACTCAGCCCCCGCCCGCTCGTCCCAGGGCCACAATGCCAACCGACAAGACGGCAGAAGGGGCCCCCTCTCGATGGCCAAAAAGAACGGTCAATGCACTGCAGCCCCAAAACAGAACAAAAAAAAGGTCTACCTTTGCGGAAACCTTGCAATGGCTCGCAAGTAAGTTGCGGTGTGTCTCAAAAGGATCTTTCCAGGTGGGTGTGTTTTTTTGGTTTTCGCGCAAGACCATCTGAAAGCGCACGTCCTCCAAAGGGTCCGAGACAGCGAGTGCATACTACAGAATCGACTTGCCACATGGCCCGCAGCTGCTTGCCATTCCAATCGCCCGCTTGCGTGGGAGTTCCCTTAAATACGGGAGCCCCTCCAAGAGATCGAGGCAACAAGGCCATTGCCCGTTGACAAGGGCCAAAAGAACCTGAAGCTGAAGCGCCGGGCCCAGCCGTGCTTGCAGTCGCCCACGCCCTGGCAGGGCGTGAAGTATGCCCTGGAAGGGAAGCCCCCCGCAAGGGAAAACCAACGCCAGGCAATGACGGCTCCAAGTCACAAATCCACTCATACAAGGCCTCCCTCACCAAATGAGTTTCCTTTTTTTCACAGGGAGGTCCCCGGAAAAAGAAAGAAGACAAAAACGGCGGCTCTCCTTTGCCGGCCGTTCAGAAAACACCAAAACAAACACAAAAAAGGGGGGCACGGCGCAAATGGGAAAGCAGCCCGCCCCCGAGCCAAAAAAGAACAACCTCCCCCAGCGTGTTCGTTCGCCACGCCCTCCGAGCGCCTGAGTACTCGGGGCGCCAGGCTGAAGCTTGAAGTCCTGCGACGAAGCCCCGAAGCCTAGATGGTCGACGACCCTCGATGGCAAAGCCGACCCTGGTTGAAGAAACAAACATAAGGGGCCCGCATAGGTGTCCTTTTTAAGTTGGTGTCAAAAATAGAAAGCACGGGTTTGGATGGGTGTTATGCCATCTACCAGGGCCATCGATTGTTCCAAAAGGACCTGTGATAAGGGGGCTACAGTCACACCAAAAAAGCAGGGGCCAAGGTCACACTAGAGAATCCAAAGGGCTTCGTCCGTTCCAACCGGGCGAGGCGGCTGTTTTGTCTAAACCAGTGCGAAACCGTGCCACTGACAACTTCAGGTCTAAGCTTGGGCAACAAAAGCTGGGTTGTTCGCAAAGGGCATCCAGCATCGGGACAAAGGAAACTGCTACCATCCGAATCTAGCACGAGGATTAGGGATTGACCTTGGATAACCCAAGGAACATAACTGAAATAACTAGACTATAACCCGTCTATAGCCCTGCTTGAAACCCGCAGGGCGGAAGCTAAAACTTCCCTGCCGTAAGCCTTTTGGGCACTTCGTGGGGGCAGTGCACATGCTCAGGCAGCACTGAGTGATGGAGGGCAAATTCCACAATCCCAGGACATGAAAAGAGGGATCCCCAGGTAAAGGATTTCCCCAGGTAAAGGATTTACATCTTGGCGACCTCCTGGTTTCCCCGATGCATCCCGCTGCACTCCCGGCCAAAATCCCGACCCTCGACTCTTCGCGCCGCGCCATCCCATTGCCGCAGGGCTGTTTCCCAAACTAAACACGAAAGGAACAAACATGAAAAAGTAAGGATATGAATGTCAAAAAGCAACAAAGAGGGCCAGAAAGGGCTGGGATTTTGACTCATAAACCCTGCTGGATTCTGTAGGGGATAAATAACCTCCTTCTGCACACATTGACGACTGCCTGATCACCCACCCCACCCCACCCAAAAAAAAGAGAGGACACGTTCCGGGAGTGTATTGGACCCCACTGAATCCAACAAATGTTCAAAGACGTGGGGCAGGAAGCTGCCCCCTCAGCTTTCGGGTAGCTCGCTTCCCCATCACCCCACCCCCCGGCCGCTTTCTCGGTGCCAGTCCTTGCTGAGGAGCCCAACCTGCGGCGCTTCCGCACCTGTGGGACCATCGCCCGAAATTGGCAATGGCGCTGACCCCGGAGTCAACCCCTGGATCGCCAGTTGCGATCGCTTTTTGTCCATCCACTTCACCCCAAAAAACCAACGGTGACGGAAAAAAACAGCAACTTGGCTATCTAGGCACTTGATTCACATGGGGGTGTTCCCCTCCAGTGACGGTTCCCCACTAAACTCGGGGATACCCCCCCCAGCAATAAACTGGGGTTGATTCATATGGGGTCAGCCCGATCTCCCACTTTTGAGGGATCGAGAGTCTTTGAGCCCTGGTTGTGTGTTGGAAGCATTGATCACGCAGCACCTGCGCTAGGGAGCCTGGACAACCTTGAGGTCGATAGGGAGGCCGAAAAGACTTCAACCCCATCACCACTCTTCGTGCAAGGGGCACCACTCCCCGAGCTAAACCCTGCAGCGCCTTTGACGAGGTTCACCTCGAAATAGTACTTGCCGCTGGACTGGGCACAGGCGCACTGAACTGGGCAAGCACTGGAAACTGGGCCCTTCCTTGGAAGAGCCCGTCAGCCATCTGCTGCGAGCCGTTAGGCCGGAGTCAGCCATCTGCCAGCCAGCCAGTCAGCCACTCCGCTAGCCTGAACGTGGGATATAAAACAAACAGAAAACCGACCAACCAGCCAACCAACCAAACAAACAAGCTAGATCAAGCCAGCCAGCCAAATAAACAAACCAGCGAGGAAGCAAGCATCTAAACAAAACAACGCAAATAGAATGGAACAGTGGGCACGCCAGAAACGCAACGCGCCTGCGCAAGCTTGGGGTAGCCCATGGTGATCCAGTCCATGCAGGGGTCCTCGCGCCAATCGGGCTAGGTTTTCAAGAGGGACGAAAATTCGTCCGGCGGGGTCAGATCGAGCGATCCAGGCCTCACAAAATACCAGGGGTCGGAGGCGGAAGGACACATGAGCTAGACCAAGCTGAAAGTAATTGGATGGTACGATTGCGAGTCCCTTCTAGTTTGGATTCAGCCGAGGCTTACTTGGCATCAAACATTATCCCATCCACGCCAGGTGCAAATCAATGAAGGAAGAATGAAGGAAGGGCTAAGCTTTGCGATCGCCCACACCTTCCCCATCCAATCGCATCCCACATGTAACGGGAAGCCTGGAATGCTCAGGCATGCCTCAGGCGTGCCACAACGATTTCTGCAAAAGCGGCTGCTCTGCATCACCACCGCCTTTCTTTGACCAAGTGTTCCCACTCGGCGGGCGGCCCTGTCAGCCTGTCATCCCTTGGCGCTGTGCGTGAAGATGCTTCGAACTCTGGAAAAATTCAGCCACCTCTCTCACAAGCCCGTCTCAGTTTCTCATTAGGGCGATGTCCCATGGCCCCATGGCCCTCCCTCCGGGTGCTGGCCCTCAAGTCTCCTCAGTGCCTCCTCTCAGCAGCTCCGGCCGCACCACGCCCTTTCCAGAGCCCGCCTGGCGCCGTCTTAAAATGACACGCAGCGGAGTTCCAGAACGAAAATGCGTGTGGTCCCCTTGGCTTCTCTTTAAACCAAGCCCAGACCCATGGGACATCATGAGACCTATGACAGACAACTGGCTCACTCCCTTGACCTTGTGGTACTGCCATTCCCTGCTCCCTGAAAGCCGGTCAAATAAGGGAGGATATTACACGATAGCCGGTCAAAGCCAAAGCTCGGATCCAACTGGCCCGCTTGAGCCTACACCACAAATGGCAGGGTATCACAACCGGGTGTCGTTCCCGGCTTTAAAGAAGATTGTTGGATTGCTGCAATTTCAGAGGCCCTTGCCACCCGTCCCTGCATCAACGGCGGCAAGTTCAACCATGAAACCCGCTCGTCCTACCAGCCGTCCCGAAACCAATGCAATGCCCAGCGCCTTGGCGTTCGAGGCCACCAGGATAACCTGAGAGCTCCAACAACGGCGCTGCTGCAACTCTGGGCTCTGCCTCGCATTTCTCGCCCATTTTCCCGCCGCCGCTCAAAGCCTTCCTTGCCTCCTGCTCCAAGCCACGCCCGGCCCTCACGCCAGGTACCGGGCGCGCACGCCAGCGTCGTCAGAGGCCGCGTTTTGGGCCACGAGCCTTCCCGCGCCGGCCTTTCGAAAGGCCGGCGCTCGCTCAAAGTGCCCCCCCTCAAACGCCCGGTGGGCGCTTCGGAGCGAGAGTTCTTGGAGTCCTTCACCGAGTCATCGGTTCCTAAGCATGGTCTGAGAGAAGACCTGCTTGAAGGTCACCGCCAGGAGGTCGTTGTGCTCGCAAACAAAGCCATGGCCAGGAGTGAGCCCCGATTTGATAGTCTCGGCCTCGTCCGTGTTGGAGCTGATGAGGATCACATAGGCGTTGACCCGCTTGTCCTGTGCGCAGGAAAAACAGTTGGGTGGACGTCGGAAAGTCGGGAAAAGGAAGCCGGCTGGTCTACCCTTGCTCTTCGCTAAGGCAAGTCTGAAAGGAAAGGATGTGCAGAAATCCCTGGCGCCCTCTCAGCGCTCAATTCCCTGAACAGCGCCGGATCTCTCAGAAGGGGATGATCCATTCCGCTCACCAACAGTGGCTTTAAAGGGGGATTGCGCTCTTAAGATGAGTTGGGTTATTGCCCCTCGGAAAGGCCCAGCCCGCCTCAGGGCGGAAGGACCCAATAACGACCCTCTACACTCAGACACCTCCCCACGAATCCCACCAGACTTGTTGTTTTTTTCAAGCTTAGGACGCACGGACCTACCTGGGCCCTCAAACTAGCCTGCACAATTGGGAACTGGTCCAATTGGTTGTGGTATATTCCAGCCGCGTCCTGCATCAGAATCTTGTTCCATGATGCTGGGGAGATGCCGTACCTCGCCAGATCTGCGTCGCTGACCACGAAGACGTAGTGCTCATCTGCGGGCTTGCGGAGCACGTCCTGCGAAGCCGCCCAAGGGAACAAACTCGCGCCGCATTGAAGCCCAAATCGGCAGCTCGCGCGGCTGAAGGGGAACCCTGATCACTCTAAGGTGACGATTGCTTGCGGGACCTGCAATACTGCACAGCCAACACATGCCTGCATTACCCAGCAGGCAACCCCTCCAAGCACGTGTTGGCTTGGAAAAAGGGAACCCAGTTTCAGGGTCTTTCCACCCCATGAGCGGGACAAGGGATCCCTTCCCATGAGCGGGAAAAGGAATCCCTTTCCCGGATTGGAAAGCCATGAGCGGGGGCAACTGAGGCACTCTGTCCTTGATGGCCCGGTCGGTCGCCTGCAGAGTGTGATCCCCGCTGTGGGAGTACTGAGCGTGCGCCGCCATCTGCTGCACAATTGCGAGCTGCTCCTGGCCGATCCAAGGAAAACATCCACCATCTCTCGGCTGCTTTCTTCTCCTCGGCTAAAAGTGACTAACTTTTAGTAGTTTCATGGAAAACCCATTAGTTGGCAAAAAGTTAAAGTCCTAACATCCAAGCAAAATGCACCAAAGGCCAAGGAGATGGATTTCAGGGCCAACCCCCAGCAGCTTCCATTTTCAAGGGGACGAGGCTCGGGAGGAAGCCCAAAAGCCCATCTTGTTCAGAAGGAAGCACGTGGGCACAACAAGAAGCCTCCTTTTCGAAGTCCATTGGGCCCAAGTTGCCCCAAGCACCCAGACAATGAACGCGTTTCAACCCAGGAAGGAGATTTCCCGTGGCCTTACCTGGTCAACCGCACCGCTGAGATTCTTCTGGGCTGTAGGCCAAAGGATGTGCTCCTGCTTGAATGGGCAATGATGAAAAAACGAAAAGCGGAAAAAAAAATGCTACCAGGACACCCCCCTCCCCCAATGACTGCTTTGGCCAGTTTGGGGTGTTGGACATGCAAAGGTGCAATTGTTGGGTGGGTGCTGGTAAAAGTTGAGGGGTACGAACAGTTACCCCTGGAATCATGCTTGAAATTCGTGAAGCACCCCACAAACCCCAAGCATTCTATGTGTTTGCTTTTCTTTGCCGCATTCTTCGAGGACAATGCTTGTCCAACTCTTCAGTCACTAACTCGGTTGCTTTCTGCTCCCCTGCTAAAAGTTTGACTTCTAGCGGTTTAATACGGAAAACCCCTTAGTTGGTAAAAAGTTAAAGTCCTCACATCCCTTGGCAAAATGCACCAAAGCTTGCTGAGTCATCCCGCGTCCAACCCAGCCCACCCCGCCTTGGGCTCTGAGGGCGGCTTGCCCCACGCCACGAAGCTCTCCGCCTCCGCGCCAGAGCCGCTGTGGCCCACCATGGCGTACTCGTACCTCGGCTCAGCCTCCCCCGGTGATTTAAATCGGCTGTGGGTCGCAATTTAACCCAAGCTGGATTGCGCTTCTTGCGTGCAATGGTGGATTCCGCGCGTCGGAACTCTTTTGGGATTGCGTGGAACACCCTGTAAACGCAAGCCGCGATTTGGGTATGGATCAAAATTAAACCATCAGGAAATGGACCGCAGAAAGAAGTCCATATTTCCATGTAGCAGGGCTGAATTTTGGGCACCCATGTTTGACCCGCAGCCATTTGGAGCCCCAAGGTGTGGAGGTGGGCGGTTTCACATCCACCCAGTGGAACCAGAAGCTAACAAATCCCCGCCAGCTTGCAAGTTGGCTTCTTGGGGGTTCGCAAAAAGCACGTGTTTTGGTGGACCCGTGTCATGTGGTTGCGTTGGGCGCTGACCTCAGTCACATTCATCCGGCTTCCCTGTTTGACGACCAGTTTTCGTGGGCGACAAGCACGCACATGGCAAGGGATCTGCTGCTTGGCTGAGCTGGCCCTCGGCCGGAGCCGAAGCTCGAATGTGGGCAATGTTGACGCCAGATCAATCGACCCACCAGAGGTTCATTCATCCTGGATTCGCATTCCAACAGAAAGCGACACATGTGAGTCGCAGCGAGGACATGGGGAAAATAGCGAGTCCCTGATTTTCGCGAAAATTAGACTACAGATCGGTATTTATGACCGAACCTCACATGCAGTCATGCTTTCAAATGAGGTACCAGCCACCCAACAGAATTCAGGCACTACTATCGATCTTTCTATGGTGGCGATCCGCACAGAATTGTGTGACACAACAGGCCTTTACTGTGACAGGATTTCGGCTTTATGTTGGCTGAATGCAGCAGATTGTCAATCCTACGTGCCTGTCGCAAAACGCCATCAACCATGTGCTGCCTCGCACTCAGGCAAGTTTGATGAGCAGAACTGCCAACTCGCCGGGTCTGGTCTTAAAGGATCCCACCCCTTTAGGAAAAAACGGAGCCGCCCCCTCGTAGGCAAAAGGCTTCTGCTCGAAGCCCTTGAAGCTCTCGAAGATGAAGATCGCCGCCTCCATCAGCCTCGACCAAACATCCGCAGTCCGTCGCCCGGGTTGTTGCACACTCCCGGGCGGCAGCACGCAAGCCGTGCGAAGGACTGGGCTTGAACCCAGCCGAAATTGGGCAACGCGAATCCACAGACTTTTGTCTCGAACAAGATCAACAAGGCTATGGAAATGTACATAGGCTGGGTACAAAGAACTTGAAACTGGGTAAGGCCATCAGGACAGGGGCTTGGCGCCAGTGTTTCGGGAATCCTTGTTTGGTTGTGTGGGTCGTCCCAGAGGAATCTACACTCGCGTCTTTGAAGGGGCCGACAAAAGGGTCCAAACCTCCTGGTTGCCAAAGTAAAGCCGCGCGCTTCCTCTCAAATACGTGAATTCCGCCCACACCATTCCGCATTTTTCTCACATCGGTAGGACTCCCTACTGAGAAAAAGGTGTTGTTTCATGCCCTTTAAACCAACCTGCCAAAAAGGGTACCCACTAACAAAGACACGATTCATCACGATTCCCATATTCAGTTGGCCACGGGCATCGATTCAGGTTCGCACCTCTGCAGGCGCTGGTCAATGCGATTGAAGGTGTACATGGACCCGCTGCAGTCCTGACCATGGACTTCCTTACTACAAAGGGGGTTCTCCTTTTTGAAACTAGGGGCTAAATGAATGGGCTGGACAAACTTCTCCAACCTAATTCGGAAAACCAAAGTCACGGGCCATTTAGCACGCTTCCCCTTGTTGAAAACAAACCACCCTTGAACTAGCACCAAGGTCAAAGTAGATGGTACAATTCCTCCTATGTCCGTAGGTGAAGGGAATGGTAAAACCAGATGGTGAGGTTGTGCCATCACGCGCCATCTACTTCCATCCAACGGTAAGTCTACCGAATCAAAAAGCATCCCATGTGATTCCTTGCGTGCCATCCCCCCCTTATGGACCAACCTTGGCCGAAACAAAAGGAGCCTGGCTTTCCGAATCCGCAGGTTGGCTCATTTGTTTCTTGGAGAAACCTTTCAAGGAACACCCCCAGCCCACCCCCACCCACCCCACCCCCGCAGCCCACCCCACCCCACACCCCAGCCCCACCATCACGAACTTCACGCGCTTCGGCAGCACCTGGTCCCCGCCCTGGTGCTCCGCTTCCCCCCGGCGGCGGTAGATGTTGCCTCAGCGGGCGGTGAGGAACCCGGGGTGAGGAGGGGGGGGTGGCAGGCAAGGAATCCCATTGTCAGGAAGGGTTCCGATGTTGATTAGTTAGGCGCCATCTAGCTCATGGGACGGATCTCATCTTTCAGGGTGCCCAAAAGTAGATTCGGTTGCTGTTTGGAGTATGTGCGCGTGTGAGTATGGGTGTTTGTTTTGGGAAGGGGTGGGGGTTCTGCCCCCAACAGAGAAACGCTTCAGTGGGTGCGGTCATTTGGTGTCCCGGAAAAGGAAGCGTACTCTCGAAATCCGTCTTGCAGGTAAACCACGCTCCAATCAAGGATATAATGATTAATATCAGGTCTTCGAACGCTTGAAAATCCGCACAGCCCGAAATCTCGAAGAGACATGGCTGGCCATGGCTCAACATGGTCCTTGGCTTTGCAAACCAGCCCTTTCCTCCACAGGGCTCCTAAAAAAATGCCTCGTAAACACAGCAAGCGCCCTACTTTAAAAACGAAGCTCACTTACGGGCCATCAAGCCGATGGTCAAAATGAAGAAACGAGGACCTTGGGAACCTCCAAACATTGTTGTTATTTTTGCAGATTTCCATGTAGGGCCCCCGAAAAATCTGATTTGTTTGCCCCAAAACTGGGGGGCTTCCCCCTACAAAAAAACTCGAGGGAGCCCTGCTTTTGAGGCGGAACGCGGGCCCCGGCGATGCCGTCCACCAGCCGCATCTCATCCAACTCCCCGTGCTGCTGCTGTTTCTGCCAGCTGCGCTCCCGCTCCTGAAACTCCGGACGAAACAAAGCAGCCGTATGAGAGAGGCGCCAAGTGATCTGTATCCCTAAACCCGGAAACCGTTTCTATCTTTGGGGCCTCGGCCCATGCTGCTGATTCTGAAAGCAAGGATTGCTTTCAAAACGAAACACCAGTGTTGCTTTTGGATCGATTTACTTACTAGCTCTTTGCTTTGGGGCCCCCCCACCCCCACCCCAAGCCGCGCCTTGGCTTCGTGGCTCTGCAGCACCAGGCGAAAGGCCGCGATCTGCGCAGCCACGGCCTCCCGTAGGCGTCGGTACCTGGGAAAGACGGGCAGCTGGTCGTGTGAGCTGGGCACGCTGCCAAAAGGGGGACCTGCTTTACAAGGAGAGGACTACCCAAAACGGGTGACTGAAAAGAGGAGGGTCCAAAGCATGGTTGGTGGGTTTCCTTTTTTTGATTCTCCTTTCAACTGAGGTGAAAAGGGGCACCCGCAAAAAAAAGAAGCTCCATTGGATTGATGTGGGTATCTATCAAAAGGGACCACCCTTGTGTGGCGCCCCCCCAGTTGGTTCCCCCAGCATGGCCGATGATCACTTGCACATAGGAGGCGCTTCATAGATGTTAACGGGGTCTGAACAGCCCTAACACCATGAGATTCCACCCAAACATTGCCGCTGACCTGAGCAAGGCCTTGCAATGGTCGCCAGAAACTGCAATGTGCGATCCATCCAAAAATGAATACTGAAACTTTTGCAAAAGAGGCAGACAGCCAGCCGGCAGACAAACGGGCAAACAGAGGGAGAGAGGGCTAGAGAGAGAGAGAGAGAGAGAGAGCCGGACGGACGGACAGACAGACAGACAAACAGACAGACAGACTGACTGACTGACTGAGTGACTGCTGGCTGACTGACTGGCAATTGACTAACAAAGATACAGACACAGAGAGACAGAGAGACAGACAGACGGACAGACGGACCGACGGACAAATGGACAGATGGACAGACAGGCAGGCAGACGGGCCTGCCAAAACGGTGATAAGACTAGAGAGAGAGAGAGAGAAAGAGCAAATAAAGAAAGGAAGAACGAAAGAAAGAAAAAAGACAAGCAAGGAAGGAAGGAAGGAAGGAAGGAAGGAAGGGAGAACGAAGAACGCCCACCATGCAACCCACACACCCAAAGGCAAGCCTCCCAGGTTGTGACTCAGTGGGACTTGGACCCGTGCCAACAGAAGGCCTTTCACCTGGCACAAACTCGGACTTCGCACCTGGCTTCTCCCAGTCTGGGGGCGTTCGACTTGCTCCACAAGATTCGGCCGGGGCACTCCTGCTCATCATGAGCGCTCATCTTCAGCTCCCTCAGCCTGTTGGCATACGCCTCGTCTGCCATCTGCTGCGCCTTCTTGTGCCATTCCTCAGGGACCTCCGTCTTCTGGTCTTCCGAAAGCATCACCAGCTCCTGTGCGGAAGCAACAATCACATCGGCTCGCCGGGCGCGTGGCGAGCCAAGGGCAACATGAAAGGCCGTGAAATGCCGTGAGTGCCTGCAAATGAGAAAACAACCAAAATTGATAGGGGGGTCCCTTCGAATTCCCTTTTCCTTCAAAGGTCCAAAACTTGCACGGAGTTCCAATCCTTGTCATGTTGGCCAAAAACATGGTTCTTTGCAGCCCACTCGAAATGAACAGACAAACACTTTAAGATACTTTAAGATACAAGACCTGCCACCAGGGGGAGGGGAAAAAAAAAACGTTAGAACTGCCAAGAACCGCAAAGCCAACCACCTCAAAGCCATGCGCCACTTTGCTTCACAGAGCTCCTGCCCCACATCCAGGCGGTACGGCCCAGCACGGCCTCCGATGCCCGCCGTTCCTGTGCCGCCGCTGCCACCGTCCCAGGGGCCTGCGGGCGAACCGAACGGACGGGGAGAAAAGCCAGGTCAGGGTCCCGTCCTCTTGCCGTTATAAAGGGAAACCACAAAGCAGGAACCACCAAAATAAGACACACCCCTCCGCGGAGTTCACAAGGAGAAGCCTATCTTGCTTTCTGCAACGACCCCTCGGCAAAAGTGTTTTTCACCTTTGGTTAAATTAATATATGGAAAATCCCCTTGATTGCAACCAACAACAGAAAGTCTAAAGACCGCTTACCCAGTACCCAGCAAATTTGGAACCAGGAGCTGCTCCGCAAACCCCTCTCTACTGGAAAAAAGGGAGGCTTTGACATCCCGGTGGCTACTTCACTTTAAACAAGTGGTATGGAGAAACTGTGTGAAAGTAGCAGATTCAATGGGTCGGCCTTGAAATCGGAATATCATGCTCTTTCTTGGATTTCCCATTCCCATCCTTCTCTCTCTCTCTCTCAATGTTCTCAGGTGTTTTTTGGTGTTCCCTGCAAAAGCCCAAAGCACCTGGACCCTCAAACTAGCCTTGCAAAACCGGATATGTTGCCGCAAAGTGACGGCGAAACTTCCCGTTGTGTTGGTCGTTGACGTCCAGGGAGCCCTCCAAACATCGTCGGGGACTTCAAAACCAAACTACTTCATGTTAAAGTAGGACGATGCTATAGCCAAAAACAATGAATCATAGTTCGTCCAGCCCAAGTTGAATGATGATTTCATGTGATTTCACAGACATAAAAATAAGCCCAACCATATTTTGCTCAGCCCTCACCCTCCAAAACCCGCCGCCCCCGTCCTTCGCCGATGTGCTGGCGCCCATCCCAGTTCCCCGCCCGCGGCGCGTGGCGCTTCCCGGAGCGGTCGGTTTGGTCGTCGTAGTTCTTGGTGCCCACGTCCCCGGGGTTGAAGCCCTGCGAAGCAAACACTCGGGTGAACCCCAGCCCCCCCCCCCCCCCGCATGTGGAGAAGACGAAAACGCCTCGTCCCCAACGAGGTGGTAAAAAACAACAAGGGCAAGAGGGTGGGGGGGGAGGAAAAACGAAACCCATTTCGCCGGTTCAAGCGGACCTCTTCAGCTTCCCTTGGTCTGGTGGCTTAGACCTTGAGCAATTCAACTGGAACCCGGAGGGAATAGTTGCGTGGTTGCGAAAAAAACTGCGTGTTACCGGGGCCAAACCCCAGGGGGTTTGCTTGGCATCTGACTTTGAAAGGGAAAGCTCCAGAAAAGAAGAAAAGGTGGCACTGCTGGGTGTCTCAGCAACCCTGCCTCCCCGTCGTTCTCCGCCATCTCACCCGAGTCATAGTGCTTCGCCTTTTGGTGGCACGCGGCTCGAAAACGCAACCGTAATGAGGAAAACCGCAAACATGCTTTTAAAAGAAAGAAGGGAGAGCCTGCTTTTCTAACCCTAGACCTGTTTTTGTTGACCTCAGCTTGGGGGGCACAAAAAACAGGATCGCCAAAACAGAAAATAAGCAAGCCTGGTGGCGGGACATGACACGAAATCTGTGCTACCAAAACGTATGACCACCCTAACACGTTCTTTGGGGCGTTCCTTGGTACAGAAACTGGCACCCTAGCAAGCAATTGTCCACACTGGAGCGAGGAAATCGAAGTTGATTGACTCAAAAGCTATCCGATTCAACATTTAGGCGCGCATGATTCATCTGTCGGGGCCGGGGTATCTTATGGCACCCAACAGGTGGTTAGAGCCGGCTAGAGCTGCTGTTCCTTCAAGCGGGCGACAGACTTGAAGTCCTTCGGCAGGCGCTTCTTCGCGTCGCCGTGCTTCACAGCTTTGGCCCCCGGGGGGTCGAGCTTGAAGCCGCAACTGTGCAGCACCTGGATGCGAATTTTCGGGAGTTGGCACCCATTTATCAGCTCACGTGGAATTTGACTGAGAGGGCCCGGAAGACAATTTTCCTTTTAAAGGGAACCCTCTGGTGGGTTCCATGTTAGTGGGCCCGGAGGGTCCCCCTTTTGAGGGTTGGCCTAACGGAAAACCAAAAGGAAAGCCACTATTCTTGGGGGGTGTCCAAATCCCTAGTTTGACATACCCACCTCCATCAGGGTCTCTCTGAGCTTGTCATCATGCCAGTCGAACTCAAAGACATCCGCGAAGACCTCTTCAACCGGGTCGTCCGGAAAGCTGTCCTCAGACCACCCCTCAACGTCCGCTCTCCTCCCAAAAGTGGCCTCGTATACCAAACCTGAACGGAGAAGGTGGCTGCACGTACTGATCACGTTTCGACAATTCCTTTTTCAACACATGTCGTCTTTGATAATCTGGAGTCCCTTCACCAATCCATGGACGGTCCATTTGTTTAAGCGCACTTGTCTGCATCAGGAGACCGTTTTCCCCTTACCCTATTAGATATTCATTTGGCTATACACATATCTAGCAACCTCCGTGCATGTGCGCACGCCATCTAGCATCCTCTGTGCATGTGTGTGTGTGTGTGTGTGTGCTCGTGTGCTCGTGTATGTGGTCCTCGCATGTTCCTGCAAAATTGTGTAAAGGGAAAGTCGATCAATATTGACAACCAACAAGTTGTGATGCTTACCACTCCGGACAGGGCAAAAATGTGTCATCCTGGCTGACATTCCTCAAACATCCATCAATACCCCAGAGTTTGTCCAATGATCTGGGATTTCCGGATCGGAAATCCTCAAACCGAGCCTTTGCAAAATTCAAGCCTGCCCTCCAAAGAAACAAAGACCAATCTGCGCCCTGCACTACCCTTGGGGAACCTACTGAACAGACTCTAAACACATGATCTCCCACATCGCGGCTTCTCATCAGGCTGCTCAGGTGCTTCCCACCCAAATCCCCTGGAGTCGCTTCTTCTTCCCCTCCCCCCACCCGGAAGTCATTTCGGGAAAGAGAAACAACTAGGTCCTCCAGTAAAGAGGTTAGAATAAGGGTACCCTTTCTTCTGTAGTCTATTTGAGTAGGGGAACCGAATCTCCCCCCAAAAAAAATCGGTTGAGAAAGGGCACCAATTGCCAGGGGACAAATCCACAAATCGCGGCGAAACCGAGGCGCCAGGTGCCGCACGATGCGCACCAGCTCGCGGGTGGAGTAGGGGTACGCCAGGAGGCCCTCCGCGACGAGACGCCGCAGCTCCGCGAAGAGCGCCAGCAGCCGCGCCAGCGTCTCCTCTGGAAGCCGAGCAGTGGCCAGGGAGATGACGTGGGGGTCATGGGATCCATGGGGAAGTGAGAAACCCCTTGGGGTAGTGGCAGGTGGTGCCCTTTTCGGGTTGGTCTGGAGTTGGTGCCCTTTTCAGGGTGGCTTGTTGGAGTTGTTTTCAGGTTGGTTTGTTGGAGTTGTTGCCCTTTTCACCTGGGTTTCGTGGGAGTTGGTGCCCTTTTCGGGGGGGCTTGTTGGAGTTGTTTTCAGGTTGGTTTGTTGGAGTTGGTGCCCTTTTCACCTGGGTTTCGTGGGAGTTGGTGCCCTTTCCAGGGTGGCTTGTTGGAGTTGTTTTCAGGCCACCCTGAAAAGGGCACCAACTCCCACGAAACCCAGGTGAAAAGGGCAGCAACTCCAACAAACCAACCTGAAAACAACTCCAACAAGCCACCCTGAAAAGGGCACCAACTCCCACGAAACCCAGGTGAAAAGGGCACCAACTCCAACAAACCAACCTGAAAACAACTCCAACAAGCCACCCTCAAAAGGGCACCAACTCCCACGAAACCCAGGTGAAAAGGGCAACAACTCCAACAAACCAACCTGAAAACAACTCCAACAAGCCACCCTGAAAAGGGCACCAACTCCCACGAAACCCAGGTGAAAAGGGCACGTTGTTTTCAGGTTGGTTTGTTGGAGTTGGTGCCCTTTTCACCTGGGTTTCGTGGGAGTTGGTGCCCTTTTCAGGGTGGCTTGTTGGAGTTGTTTTCAGGTTGGTTTGTTGGAGTTGCTGCTCTTTTCACCTGGGTTTCGTGGGAGTTGGTGCCCTTTTGAGGGTGGCTTGTTGGAGTTGTTTTCAGGTTGGTTTGTTGGAGTTGCTGCCCTTTTCACCTGGGTTTCGTGGGAGTTGGTGCCCTTTTCATGTTGGTCTAAAGGGGGCCAAGGGAAACACGCAACTTTACCGTCACCCTATTTTAAGACACATACCCCTTTTGGACGGCCCACGGAAACTTAAAAGCAGAACTACCTGGACCCGACTATCCTTGAACACGGGGAAAAACACACGGACCAGTTGCTCGGAATAAAAGTGGGCCAATTTCTCAAAATTACCAGGGCTAAGTGGTGTTTCAAGGAGTGTCCCACGAAAGTAACTTGTGAGAACCATCCAAATGTTCACCTTCACTGTCCTCAAGGTGCAAGAACCTGTTTAGTAGAACTGGATTTGGACCCCCTGAATCTGCTTTTGGACCTCCAACACGTTTGACTAAGAAAGTGAATGAGTCAAAAGGCAGGACTGCCCTGAAACTGGTCACTGATTCTTGGCGGCTTTGTGGCTGGATCTTGCAACTTTGACATTAGCTCCTTGGAAGACGTGTGTCTTACCACGAATTGGTTAAACCTCATGGATGCCATGGCCACGAAGTCCGTTTGTTCGCCTTTCGGAACTGCGCCCCAGGGCTACTGGGGCCCGGAATTTGCTTACAAGCGAGCCGAAGCGAATTGAAGCCAAGCCTTTTGCCCCATACTTCCAGAATGCACCCACCCCAAAAAACAAAGCTCTGGTTTTGCAACAAAGTTTGCATTGGCCTGGGAATTCGTTCAGCGGCACTGATTCCCCCCTTTGCTTAAAATAGAAAAAAAACAAGCCTCACGCGCGTCACTGGTTGCAACCGCCATCCAAAAAAGTCCCCGACAGGGCAGGTGGGGGGGGGTCGATTCCTTTTTGACTACCATATCCAAAAGAGGTCCTCGCTTCTACGTCAGGGACGACATTCCCGCTGATCAAAGCTTTCCAAGTCATCCATGTGGGTTTAAATGACTAGGGTTACGCAGGTGTTCGTCTTTGGCTGCATTTACCGAGGTGCCATTTTGGTGCATTTTTCGGACCCACAGCCATATCTCAAAGTAAGAGAGCCTATAAGCCCAGCTGCATCCCCCCTCCCTTCCCCCCCGCCCCCGTCCCTCCCCGTCCCCCGCCCCCGGGCGCCTTGGGCACGGAAGGGCCGTAGCTCCGCAGCAGCTCCACCTCCGAGGCCACGTCGGGGTTGTCGATGGCGAAGGAGGCGAAGACGTCCCCGCACTCCCGGTAGAAGTCGTTGCCCAGGAAGGGATACCCCGGACCTCGGGGCGGCCAGAAAACCCGTCTGGCCGGGAATCAGTCGTTTCCAGGATCTCGGGGAAGCGCGATATGGCACGATACGGTGCACAAGGCCCCTGTAGAAAAGGGGAGTGACCCAAATACCCGGACCACGCAACATTGGAGAGGACAACAATATCTCCGCTCGGCTAGCCTTCAAACATAGGGCATGTGTAATGCTCTGTAGCCAAGCCTTAGCAAGTTCAGTAGCATCAACGAGTCTCAAAAGCAGCGGCCCGTGCAGGGAGAAGACCCTACCCGGCTGTCCAAAGTTCACCTGCCTTCTTTGACCTGGATTTCGCGCTTCTTACAGGGAGGTCTCAAAAAAACAAAAAAAGAAGCTCGGAATCCCTCGGACATCTTAGGCCCCCAGCGGTTGGCCAGCACGATCATGCGGAAGCCATCGGCAATGGGCAGCAACTTTGGGTCCTCCACGAACTGGGGAATCCGCTCCTGGCGAGCGGCTGGTGAGACTCCACTGGACGTCTCGCTGGACCTCGGGCGTGCGCCCGAAACTTTAAGGAGTGCCTCGGTCCGGTGTCCCAAAACGGTACAAATTGGAGTACATGAGCTATGAACAGAATCCCGAAAATGAGCATGTTCGAGGAGAGCGCCGCCACAAATTCCACTTGTAAGGTGAATACCTTTGAGGAAAACAATGGCCACAAAGGAAAAACACCACTTGCCAGCTTTCGGGGCACCAAGGAAAAGTGTGTCACTTGAGCTCCTTCTTCATTATCGTCCGGCCATCTCCAAGGGAGAACTCGCCATCTTCCGCCAGACTCTTCAGGATGCATACCTCGGGCACAATCGTCTTTCTCCAATTTTCTCCATCCCCTTTGGGCTGGCAGGTGGTCAAAATCGCCGCCCTCCAAATGCCACCCACCCACCTAAGCCACCAACCACCCAACCCAACCGCCGACCACGGGCGAGGCACTACCTCCAGGGGGGCCTTGTCCGCCTCGTCGATGACCAGCACCCGGCCGTGGCGCACCGCGGACACCAGGGGCGAGTCCTGGCTGAGCGGCCGGTCACGTAAGCAGCCGGTGAGACCCGCCAGCTGGGAAGATGCGGGGACCAATAGCTTGGCTGGAATACTACGTATGTTTATTGCCTGGTTAGCGGAAAACAAAAGAAAAGCCAAAAAACAAAAAAAAGAGGATACCATTTTGGGCAAGAAAGAAGGTGGGAAGGTCTTTTTGGTTGGCTATGTTGGCTGACTGCATATTGAGTGGGTGAGCCGAAAATATGAGGGAAATGGGTGACAGAAAGAATGACGGGAGCGGAATCGGGTAGGAGTGCATGACCCTTGGTAGAAAGTGAATCACAACATATCGCGACTCTTTTGGAGATGGGTCAAGTTTAGCCAAAAACCCGTCAAACAGGGGTAAAGGGAGCACACAAGAAAAGGCGGGGTTGATGTTTTTCATGTTGGTTGCAACATCCTTTTTTTCAGCTGCGGTTGGCGCGTTTGAGGGTTTAAGCTGGGAACCCCACGGATCAAAGGGAAAAAGGTGCTGTTAAGAGAAGGACCGAGCCCCTCCCCCTCCTCATTGTGAAAAACAGGCCCCTTCTGCGTCAATGTCCGATCACCGTAGCGAGTTTCTCACTTCAAAGGCTTCTCCATTGGTCCAACAGGGTTCCCCCACATGGTCCCTTTTGGTGGTTTTAAGCATCGCCTGTTGGGCTAGTTTAAAGTGAGTTGCCGTTTGGTATTGCGGACATATAGGGAGCCCTGATTACAGAAAGTGGCCAAGTTCCACAACCCTGGGCTGTCCTCAGATTTTAACTTGCGGGTTAAATGGAAACCCAACCACTGAACCAACTAAAAACAACTAATAACCTAAGCAAAAATGGATGGCTGGAAATTCCATGAAGAAGCCCATGGCCCCTTCCTGGTAGACCACCACCCCATTCTGCAGCATGGGCTGCAGAGTCAGGGACTGCACTGAGGTGTCTCGGTGCAGCTGTACGTACCTGAGCCAGGCCCCTTCCAATCCCCTCTTACGGGCTGGGATCCTGTTCCTTTCTATTTGGGTGTGGTTTCTTTTGAGGGTTGTGTACCCCCTTTTACGTAGGGCTTTGGTAAGGCAAGCAACTCATTCCCCTAGATTTCTAGGTTGGTCACCTGTGTGCCCAAAGCCCAAGAGTGGATCCTCTGCACCCCGAAGGGCATATCAGGGAAGAGCACTCTTGCGCCCCTGGAAACATTCTGACTCGTGCAGACTCCTGCATGGCCATTTCTGACATTGTGAGAATTCCCGATACGACTGCTCTCCCACAACACTGGAAAGCGATCCGGACAAAAACTGTATGAAACATGCTAGCCCCAGGGCAGCTTACATGTTTCCTAAATGAGGCACTCCCTGCAGGATGTGTTGAAGAGGAGGGGCAAAAAGGACATCAACATACATCAGCCATGTGCGAGGGCGTGCTGGACTCCAATTTTGCGACACACACCCCGTGTTCAACTCGAAAGCGGCCGTTTCCGCAAGTGACAAACCAAGGCGCTCTCTCTCCAGCCGCAGCATGCCCAGGAAGCGGTCCGCCAGCTTGTTCTTGCCGACGCCTTGGTTGCCTCGGTGAGGGTTCTCATTCGACCGAATCGATGGGCACAGGGGTAAGTTCGTTGGCGCCGGGACAGCGAAACCGGTGGAAACGAGCTGTCGAAGTCAAGCAAAGGAAACAGCAGCAGCAGCCCCCGACGATGCTTCGTCTGGACGTCCATGCACCCTATGGTCGGCTTTTTGTTAAACCAGGGGCCCATAGCCAAGTTTCTGCTTTTCTTCCGAGGGGCCGATGAGGAGAAGGTGCTGCTGCAGCATCCAGTCCACCAACATGGACCTAAGGATGGTGAGGTGCTGCGGGATGTCTACGAAGACCGTCTTGGGTACCAACTCCGGCCTGTGCGCAAAAGCCGCGTAAGAGAGCGGTCTTCAAGCGAACGCGGCTTTGGTTCAAGCAGCGGTCCGCTTGGTTTGAGAATGGTTTCCCTGTTTAGGGATATTGTCCCCGGATTAATCTCAAGTCAACACCGGCCGGCATGAACTCCTGGCTCAGTCATCGGCCATTTAGAGGGTAAACTTGGCATGATCTGAAAATCCGAAGCGTTCACACCAGCCCCGAACTAGTTCTCGTTGCTTCATCAAACAGCACGCCTCCGTCGACAGTGAACAAGAGCCATGAGTCATTGAAACCTCTGGTGGCAACCACTAAAACCAACTCCCCCCAACCCCAACCCCCCCCTCCCCACTAACCCCCCCCCCCCCCACCCCAACCGCCCCACCCCACTTCAGTGCCTGGCCGGCCGGTGCCGCGGGCACCGGACACCCCCGAGGCACAGCTCCTCCTCCGTGAGCTCCAGCGCCAGCCTCGCGGCGCCGCGCGCGCCGCCGGAGGCGGAGCTGCCGCCTCGGGCGGCCTTCAGCAGCTCCTACGGGACAGGAGCGGCATGGGGGGTGAAACTGGGGAGGGGTGGGGTGGGGAGTGGGGAGTGGGGAGTGGGGAGTGGGGAGTGGGGAGTGGGGAGTGGGGAGTGGGGAGTGGGGAGTGGGGAGTGGGGAGTGGGGAGTGGGGAGTGGGGAGTGGGGAGTGGGGAGGTGGGGGGGGGTGGGTGGGGTGGTGGGGTGGTGGGGTGGGGGGGGTGGGGGGGGTGGGGGGGTGGGGGGGGAAGGGCGGTTTGTTTCTTGGCTTCCCTTGAAACCAACCCCAAATAGGGCACCCTCAAAAAAAAGAACACCCGAATGGGATCCCGGGTCAAGCACAGTCAGACATATTCGGCCTTTCTAATCTCTCAGGGCCCGATAGGTCGACCCCTCAATTTCCCTCGTCCCAGTGGGACATCACAACGGAAACCACTGCCAGCTGGCATAAGCAGCAACCCAGGCAAACCAAATGTCCCTGCCCGTGAAAATGATACACCCCAGAGAAGCAGAAAGCTGGTACAACAACCCGTCACAGCACTCGTGCACTGGGATGCCAATCATGTTTGGGTTTCTTGCCCCTCCCCCGCCCCCCCCCCCCTCCCCCAACAAAAAAGAAAGAAAGAAAGAAAGAAAGAAAAGAAAGAAGAGAAACAATATATATATATATACAAATATGGAAGTATACTTGTGTGTGTATATAAATATATAATAAAGTAAAATTAAACAAGTGGCCTAACGAAGGCGAAAGCCCAAATAGCCAGCGCTCCTCCCGCTGGCGTTGGCGCTCTCGTCCGCTCTCCTCGCGCAAGGTGGCAGTCTCCTGGCGAAATTCCAAAGGTCCGGCGGCGCCCGCGCGCGTGCCAAGGCGAACGGATCCCACCGTCGGTCGATTGCCTCTGAAGCCCAAGAAGCTGCAAAGGAACACACGGACAAGCCGCCTAATGGCCCGTGCGGCCCGTCAGAGCATAACTCAAATCCAACAGTCGTGAATCTCTCATCGAACGCGCTCCCGCAAACAAGGACAGGTGAAGTCCTTTCCGGCCCCTCTCTTAGGCATCGGCATCCTCTCGGCAAAAATGCGCAGAGTGTCACCTAAAATCAGCGCCATCTATCTTCAAACAAGCTGACCTGGAAAGACGCCGTATGTGGCTATTGATCTGTTAAAACACATAGTTCCCCAACTCAAAAGAACAAATCTCTGGCCTGTGGTAAAACCATATACCCCCAAAAAAAAACCTTGAATTTCCCCAGTGGTAAAACCATGTAAAAAGGCAATGAATTTCCCCCACCCCACCCCACCCAAGGAAATCAAATCAGGGCGAAAGATCCAAAGCCGCCCATGCCCAAGCCTTCCCATCGATCCGTCCTCTTGAATGAGCTGCTCCGCCCGCTTGTCCCGCCCGAAGCGGAGGCCGATGGCCGGCTCCTCTCGACTTCATCGGGTGCCAGCGTGGAACGTCGCCGGGGTCCCAAAAATAATCTCGGGGTCTGGCAGGGGGTTGATCAACAGTCCATGTAGGGCCCCCGAAATGACCATGGGCGACTTTTTAACCACGTGGGAAGTATCATCTTTTTGGGTGGTTTTCCCACATGGTCATCCCATGTAAAGAGCCTTTTGATCAACCCCCGTATGGCCAATTGGGTCATGGCTCCCTTAGGAATCACTGTAATGGTTCTTAAATATCCTTGGTGGATGACCATCCCTGTTTGCCCCAAGAATCTAAGAAAAGGGATCTTTTGACCATAGCACATATGGGTGTGCATGGCAAAAGCCATAATGGTGCTTTTCCTCTTGGTTTCCCCTTTAAGGCCTGCAACTACTGCATATGGGCTCAAACTGGGAATCGCGACACAAACAAGCCAACGGTTTCCTTGTGGCTATCCCTTCAAATATCAATCATTGTTGGGGTTACACCCGTTTGGAAAACACTCATATGACTCATATGTACCATGGTCAATCAAACAAAACACCTTAGCTCGGGGCAAGGCCAAGCCTGAATCTGGTTGATGGATCCGTGACCACAGGTCGTATGCCCCATTTCAACCCATGTCATGCAACCCTACGCCTGTATCCTGCCCATTGGCCCTCCCACTCGCTGTTGCACCTGAAAATCACGGACACTCCCTTCTCAACCCGCTCAGCATGTTGCTTGCTTTCCTGCTTTCCTGGCTGGCCCACGGAAGCCTCCCATTTGTTTGCCCCCGTCCCAGATGAGCCAATCCAATCGCACTCGCAGCGGGGCAGCCGTGATCCAAATCCTCGACCAATCCGGACGCTCCGGGGTATGGACATTACCTTTGGTGTCCGAATCAAAGTCAAACAAAATAAATCCGGAGGGGGGTGTACCTTTTTGGTCTCCCTGTGAAACCACCAACCAAAGGCAACCCACCAAAGACATACGGGTATGGGTCAAAATTAACCCACCAGGAATTGCACCGCAGGTTTTAGTCCATGCTTCCATTTACCAGGATTCCATTTTTGGTACATATTCTTGACCCACAGCCGTACCTCGGCTCGAACCATTCCTCCCGCCTCCAGCGCTTTGAGCCTCTCCCCCCGCTCTTCTGCCAGCTGGGCGCGACGCCTCGCCTCCTTGCTCTCCTGGGCGTCCACCGGGCCCCGAAGCGAAGGGTTCAATCAAAAGGGAGACTGGTCCAAGCGTCTGATAAGAGACTCAAAAGGTTAGGCCCCGAAAAGACTTGAACGTAAGATGGTGTAAGATGGTGCCCGCTACCCCGAAACCACCAGCAGAGGTGTCATGGGAGATACCCACTATCCAAATGTTATGTGCCTTTTTGCCCGCTTTCTTCCTGCAAGTTGTGGGAAACCAGCTTGGAGTAAACCCCGGATTTCTTGTTGGATGGCATGCGCCGCCCCAAAGTTTCAATCGCTTTCGAGGGCGACACACAAGTGGAACGCTGCCTGGGCCGAAACGCTGGGCGCAAGTGCCTCCCGTCCAAATCTACTGCTTATTTGCTTCACTCTGGGCTGCACCCCATTTACTTGTAAAAATGATTTTCGGGGTTGCATCTGCACAACTTGTTCTGCAGCCCCACCTCGAGAAATCCTCTTGTAGATCCGCCCTCTTGGCCCGCACCCCCTTCCAGGACACTCAAAGAATACCACCCGTCCTCGGGGTTGTCAAGGTCCACCTGCAGCCCCACGCCCTTCATGGCCTCCCGCATCATGCGCAGCACGCTCCTTGGTGAGCCATACGTTGCGCAACATCCAGAGTTCCGTCCCTTTTGGATATCTGGTGTGTTGTGTTGCGCTGCGCTGCGCTGTGCTGCGCGGTGGTGTGTGTTGGGTGGGTTTGCGCCTGTGGTGCTGACGTGATCTGTGTGTGGTGGGTTGTGTCTTGCCCCTCCACAACCCCCCGCCGCAACAAAGTGGCCGCTGGCCGCTGGCCAACTCCAAGCAAAACCCGAACGAGGGTTGCTCAAACCGCGGTGTTGCAGCATGTCCAAACCCTGGGTTGGAACTCCCCTAAAACTTTCCCCTCTCCCCTGGGAGGTGGTTGGCAAGGGCCATCCCTTTTCCAACTTCGGCGCAGGCGCTGCTTGGAGAGTGGCGGCAGGAAGTCGACGTAGGCCGTGAGCGCCGCCCTCACCACCTCCTGAGACCACGGTTCCAAAAGGTCGAAGGGGCTAAGGCCAGACCCAAGACAGCCATAGAAACAAATGAGTGCTTCTCAAAATAGTGGACCCCTTTGTGGTATTTAAAAAGGAAAAGGATACCAATCGTAGGGGGACCCCCAAATGGCACCTGGCAAAGCGAAAACCCAAAAGGAAAGTGGCTACCACGGTTCGACCCGAGGAAACCAACGGGATTGTTCTACCCTTGAGGCTGCGCTTCAAGGCACGGAGCAACCCCAGCTCAAGCCTCTCCTGGGATTCATTCGGCCGGGCGCTCAGCCGCCGCCCCGCCTGGCCGAAAACATGCATCGGAGAGGTTCTCTGGGCGGCACGAGGGGATGTTGCAACATGGGTGGGACCGGATCTCTCACTGTCTCAGTTGTTCAGTGACCCTGGCAAAAAAGGGAACCCTTGTTGGGGAAGACCATCTTAAGTGGGGCAGTCACCCCCCCCCCAAAAAAAAAAGGGGGAAAAAGGGTGCCACTGAACAACTGAGCTGTGGGCAACCGCAGGGCAAACAACAATCTAATAACCAAAGGGAAGCAAGGGTAGGGAGGATCACGTGTTCACCCTGAACTGAACCCTTCGGAGCCTTAGTTTGTGCCGCAGAAATTACCCTGGGGTTAAAGGGGGAGAGCGGGGAAATGTGTAGTGGATGTTTCAAGGTATTCGTCACCCTTTGATCAAGCACTACATTGACTCACTGCCCAGCAGTGGGGTCCGTCAACACATCCAAAGACCACCTGCTGTACAAGGGTCCTCCAAATCAGCTGGTGCATGTGATTTGTCAACTGGCTCAAACGCAATCGAAGGGCCTGGTGTGTGAGGTTCTTTGAAGCCATTTCTAGTCATTACTATAGGGGGGAGAACTTTGTTTAGCCCTTTCTCTTCTATCATGTTGTGTCAAAATAAAAATTGGGAACCCCCCCCCCAAAAAAAAAAACAAATGGGTGGTGGTTCCTCTGTGTGTTGTTTGATAGTCGCTCTTTCAGCGGCCCCGTTACAAAAATAAAAAGCCTGCAGCAGCTGCCGCAGGGACAGCAGCAAAGGCTGCAGCGCTGCGTCCGACTTCGCCGCCGCGCGGAGCGCCTGTCAGAAAATTCACGGGGCGACAGGTGAGTCACAATCAAAACCCGGTATTAAGATTGCCCACCCAGAACCATGTAAAGAATTAAGAAGGCGGCCGCAACTATTTCTGGCTGGGACTGCCCCTTACTAACCTTCATCTACCCAGGTTTTGATGGTGGCTCAAATGGGTGTGCCTCCAAATTGAAGAGCTAGGGTTACGCAGGTCTTAGTCTTTGGTTCCATTTACCAGGGTTCCATTTTGGATACCTATTTTTGACCCACACCCAAGTAGCAGGACAGATTACAGGGACGTGGAGCAGTCAAGACATTTGGGACAATCTACTATATAGTTCACAAGCCAGACATGAGGAAGACCCCTGGTAAGCGACCTTTTATCCTTGGTGAGCTCGCTTTTACCCCTGAAGCGGTACCCGTGTCACAACTTTGCCCGGGTAGTTCTCCCCGGGACAAATGAATTGGGCAGGACGCCGCTGCAACAAGGGCACCGCTGAACAGCCCAGTGTTTCCAGCAGGCCATCCTGTTTGGAGGCTTTTAAAAGAGAACACTCATTTTGGCTAGGTCCTTGAGTGGAGAGGTTCGAATAAGTTGGTACCAACTTTTTTTTCCGCAGTCTATTTTACCAGGGGAACCGCATCTCCCCCAAAAAAAGAAACGGCAGAGACGGGCACCAATTGCCGGGGGACCTTGTGGGAGACCGCCGAGGTCACGCCTTGCCGTAGGCCACCAGCCCCTGCAGCAGCGGCTCTTCCGGCGTCAGCTGGCAGAGGCGGGCCACGAGCTGCAGCTGCTGCGAGCCCGGCACGGGCTTCACCTGAAACACACGGCGTGGCTCAGGGATCCCCAGGCGTGGCTTCCTGCCATGGAAGACGGGAACGATGTTCCGCGGCTTTGTTTGGGGCTGGAGTTGTGGCGGGGGGGGTTGCACCAGCAAAAAATAGGTTGTCTGGAGCAGGGATCTTACATCACCCCATCACCCCATCACCCCATCACCCCAGCAGATGTTCCCCTACATCACCCCAGCAAATGGACACACCACGCTCAAAAAAAAAGGGGAGTCAAAGAGTGAGGCTTACATTATACACCGGAGCATTGCAACTTGTAAATGGTGGGCTCTCTGTATTGTGGTGTTGAAAAAGCAACATGTTTCAAATGGTTGCACAATGTATCTTTTAAGGAGCCCTGTGGCTGCGGCTGAAAAATTACCCAGTCTCAACTGCTCCCAGCCAGTGTTCTGCTTCTTGACTCCGGAGGCTGTGCCGGACTCACTCTGAAGTAGGACCATCCCTACAATAGCACTGGCGGTGGTCAACATGTGGCCCGTGCCAACCCGGCCCACCTCTGTAAAGTGGAACAGGGTGAGCAGCTCATCGTCCAGCCAATTTTTCTCCTCCTGTGGGGCATTTGCTGGCACCCTTCGACTCCGACGGGCGTAGGCGACATTCACTGCTTCAATCGTATGGTGTCTGCTTATGCGTTGGATGTGTTGCTGTCAAAACCTTGGATGATCACATGGATCATGTTTCCCATGTAGTGCGGAGGACGAGAAGTTGCCTCACACACACAGAAGGCCTCAAAGAGATGCCTTGCCGCAAGCGCCTGCCAAAAGGCAAACGACCCCTCCCCTCCACGCCCAGCTTCCGCCCCTTCCCCTCCACCATGTTCCCCCCCTTCAGCTCCCCCAAAAACCCGCCTGCGGCGGCTCCGCCGTGGCCACCACCCGGAAGGCCTTCGACACCGCCCGGAAGCCCTGCGCCAGCAGCTCCGCTTCTGTCCAGGTCCGGCGCCAACGCCGCCACTGCGCCTCTCGTAGGAGTCGGGAGAGGGTGAGGGGAAGGGGGTTGAGGGGGGGGGGAGTCTGGGGAAGGGAGGGGGCGGAGAGTCTGGTGGGGAGGAGAGTCTGGGGGGGAGGAGAGTCTGGGGGGGAGGAGAGTCTGGGGGGGAGGGGGGGACCTGGACACCAAGCGATTTTGCCTGCAATAGTTGCCCGCATGTGGCGGTGGATAGGTGCAGAATAAGGGTATGACATATGCAGTTGCTTTCTTGTTGGGGGCTGCTGGGGAAGCCCATGGTGTGAGGACGCTTAAGCTTGACTTGCCGCTTTGGCCTCAACTAGGTTGAACGAAATCCCCGCTTGCCACGGCTCAAGCGTTTGCTTACCACCGGAGTTCCCTCAACAAACGGCAAAAGGGCAAGCCGCTTGCGCCATAACCTCCCGCTTCCCCCACCCCTTCTCCCCAGGTGACCTTCTGGCCAGATTTGAAGGCACTGCTGAATGACCAGAACAAAAATGGCTCCACCCGTGCCATCTAGCTGCAAGCTTCATCCAAACTGGCATAAGAGGACACCTTTGGGTCTGTCTTTCTTCGAGATGATCTTCGCTGGGGGTGCTTTCAAGGGAAACCAAAGGAAACCCACTCATGTATAATGTTAGATAGTGATTAATAAAACGGGAGTGAATACAGAAAAAAAATCACAAAATTATTCACTCTCCTGAAAAGCAAAAAGGGTAGGTATTACAGAAAAAAATGCCTGAAAACCCGAAAATATGTCCCCTTCCAAGAATGGACTATTTTTGAGGGTTGAAACGTCTGAGTCCAGCCATTCCTGTCCCAAACCACCAAATTCCTTATCAATCCCTTTACTAGAAGATGCACCCTGACAAATTTTCAAGGGGGTGGCACACCGAACCCCCAGGAAGGCAATAATGCAGTTTGTTTAAGGGTAGGGAATTGTGAAGAAAAACATGGCCAGGGCAGCCTGCCAAGAAGAAAGCCCTGCTGTTCTCAGATAAAGCCAAAAATGTCCAGAATCTCTGGATTGATTTCTGTCCCAAACCACCAAATTCCTTATCAATCCCTTTGCTAGAAGATGCACCCTAACAAATTTTCAAGGGGTGGCACACGGAACCCCCAGGAAGGCAATAATGCAGTTTGTTTAAGGGTAGGGAATTGTGAAAAAAAAATCCAGGGCAGCCTGCCAAGAAGAAGAACCAATACTAAACCAATTCAACTGTAGCGAGTCAACTGAAAAGAATACTGAACTAATACTAAACCAATTCTAAACCGTAGTGAGCCAGCTCAAAGAAATACTAAACCAATACTAAATCAATTCTAAACAATACTTACTGGAAAACTACTCAGGCAGGTCCCAGTCTGGGCCCATTTTGTTTTTGGGGGTTCTCGCTATTGACCCCCCCCAATTCGTTTGAGGGGTGGGGGGGGCCTTTATTAATCACTCCCCAACATTACATCTAATATATACACATGCATATATATATATATATGTGTGCAGTGTGGGTTTTGTTTTTGTTGTTTTGTTTGCTTTTTTTGGGGGGGTCGCTACACCCTATTTGCTCCCCCCCCCCCCCCCGCACCCCCCAAGCCTCTGGCACCAGCTTGGTGCCATCCGCCAGGGTGGCCGCGCGGTCGCAGAGCAGCCGCCCGATCGCGCCGCTCAGCGCGCCCGCGGCCAAGCGGTGGACCCCGTCCAAGATTGCCAGCCCACCCTCCAGCGCCGCCTGGGGAAAACAACGATGCCTCAGGCACCCCTTTCACCTTGGCTTAAGAGGGAAACGAAAAGGAACCAGGCCCCACCGTTTTGGGGGACCTGTATTGGACAGCAACTCTTAAATCTTGTTGATTTTGCTGCGGAACGGTTGAAGGCGAGAACTAGAGGCCTGAACGGGCAACGGGGGGGGCCATGGCAGCAAAATAATGGCGGTTTCCTTTGCCGATAGAATCAAATGTTTGTTCTTCAAGACGTGGCGCGCAGGACTGAGTTTCTGGTCAGGGCCCCCTCCAGTTTATGGAACATGGAACTACGAGCTCTCAGAACCCTGCTCGAAACGCCTCCCTCAAATCTTTCAGGCTCCCGCCTTCATCAAGGGCGATGCTTGCCAAATGGTGTTGCCCCGGTCATCCGTGCCCCGTCGCAGGGTCAGATCTCGGGACGTCATGTCCTGGCCAGCTTCACTATCGAGGGCGAGGCGGAAACCAAAGACCCGCTCCAAAGCTGAAAGTGTCTCGTGGCCTCGAACTCGCTTCGTGCCACCACCCCCTACCCTCCTGCCCAAGCCCCAAGAGCGCCCGAACCAAAAGTAACATCGATGCGAAGGGGTGAACCGAAATTGCAAGAATCCCCGACAAAAAGACACACATGTTACCAAAACAAAGCCACTTCAAGGCGTTTCCTGGAACTAAACGGCTCCTTGAAGCCACCAAAAAGACACACATGCACGAAAAAAAAAAAAACATCAAGCCGTTCCCCCCCCCCACACAAAAACACAACACACACACACACACACACACACACACACACACACACACACACACACACACACACACACACACACACACACACACCCCACACACACCCCACACACACCCCACACACACCCCACCACACACACCCACACCCACACCACCCACACCCACACACCCACACACCACCCACCCACCACACCCACACCCACACACCCACACCCACCCACACCACACCCACACCAACACCAACACCAACACCAACACCAACACCAACACCAACACCAACACCAACACCAACACCACACAACACCAACACCAACACCAACACCAACACCAACACCAACACCAACACCAACACCAACACCAACACCAACAACCAACAACCAACACCAACACCAACACCAACACCAACACCAACACCAACACCAACACCAACACCAACACCAACACCAACACCAACACCAACACCAACACCAACACCAACACAACACAACACAACACAACACAACACAACACACACACACACACACACACACACAGGAGGCGCCTTGAAGCAGAAGACGCTGTAGCTCCGGTACCCCAAGACCTCCGCAAAGGCGCGGCAGAGCGCGGTCTTGCCCACGCCCCGCTCTCCCACCAGGCAGATGTCCTAGGAAAACCACAGAGATGGGCGTGGCGTTTCTCTTTTCTTTTTTGTTTGGGGGGGGGGATTGGGGGCGGGGGGGGGCCGGTGTTTCGCCTTTTTTTGGGGGGACCCTTTTTGGGGAAAAACTGTAGGCCTCTTGAAAGCTTGCAGCTTGGGAGGCTTGGAAGGGACGCCAGAAGACACCCGGCATCTTTTGAAATGGGAAGTTGCTTGGCCAAATTAGCCAGCTGGACCCTGAAGCGATCACCAAACAGCTGAGGTTTGAAACAGGGGAATTGGGTGACTGGTTGAGAATCAAAGAAAAAAAGGCTCCCCTTGAATCGCGTGGGTTTTTCGTTGCTCTGTTCTTCGCTTTTCCTTTCGGGAAAACCAAACTCTGGTGCCCATTTGATGGCACGTGTCCATCCCCGCGCAGTGGTCTTGCAGCATCCGTGCCAGCACGGAGCGCTGGCTGACTGCCAGCGAGGCCAACACGGCCTGGCGAGGGACACTGGGCTGGGTCGGTGGGCGGGGGGGGGGGGGCTGGGTGGGGTGGGTGGGGTGGGGTGGCGAGGGGGTTGCGGCTTGTTGATTCCAAGGATCCGTGTTCAAAATGGCCTCAACGCACCCCCACAACGGTAAGACCGTCCGGCGCAGGTCTGCCTCCTCCCGCGCCTCCGTCCGGCTGGGCCAGGACCCACAAGGGCACTCCACCCTCGTCACCTCCGCGCCCAGCTCAAAGCGCAGCTCCGCCCAAAGATCTTGGAGCTCAGCGGCCTTGAAGCCTCACACCGAAGCCACCAAAACTCGCCCACCGGGGGGGAGGGGGGGTTGGGACCGGCTTAACCTTCTCAGGGTCATTTCAAAGAGGGGAACCCATCATTAACCCACCAATGAACAAACCAGGTTCAAGGGGATCGTCAGCCGGCAAGCGTGGCCACTGGCAGCCCTGAACCGGTCGGCCAGCCGTGCGGTGAGCTCGTGCGCGCGGCCCCCAAGCCAGGCGGCTGTAGGCCTGGCGCTCCAGCTCCAGGCTTTGGGTCTTCAGCACCCACTGCAGCTGCTGCCGCTGAGTTGGGCTCAGCGCCAGCACCGTCCAGGGGTAGGCGCTCTGCAAGGCCAAGGCCTCCCGTTTGGGGCCGAACCATCTCAACTGGGTGGTTCTACACATAGGGATCCCATAAATGGTTTGGGTTTGCCAGCAGTTGCCCCCCCCTAGCTTTAGCTGGCCAGCACAAGCCAGCACACCCAATAATCAGGCAAAAGCTGTATATACATACCACACACACATATACACATATATATATATATATATATATATATATCTATATATATATATATATACATACGCAGATGTTTCTGTTGGGCTGCGGTTTTTGCGAGCCGGGCGCCGCAAGGAACCCCCGACTTGGGCCTGCGGAAGCTGAGGGAAGAGCTTCAGCAGCCGCAGCACCGACAGCAGCCCGAACTCCGGGAACCGCGGCAGCCCGGCGGCCCTCCAAAGCCTCCCAGCTCCGACGCCCACACCGACACCGAGTTCCATACCCAAACCGAGATCGCATCCACCAATTCGGGGCTACCGAATTGAAAAGAAGGACAGCATCCCCGTTGCCCAGTGGTGCCCTGTTCTCTTTTCTTTGGGAGGGGTGTCCCCTTCAAGTCAACCAACCAAAAAAGGATGATGGACCCTTTGGCTTTACCTTGGAACCAACAAAAACAGGGCACCTGGATCCCCAAGTAGCCGCTTTTATCCAGCTAGAATAAAGGCAACTGGGGATCCAGGTACCCTCAAAAAAGGACATCCCCATATTTCCCCTTGAAACACTCCAGCCAAACAAGCGATGTTTCAGGCCCGTATAAAAATTGCAGGGCCCGGCCCGAAAAATGTAGGCAGTCCCAATTTTCTGGCCGAACACCCACTTCCCTGCAGACCGACTTGGAGTTGGCCCCAAAGTCCAACGCTCGCCTCACCGTCTCCATCAACTTCCCCGCTTCCGCCGCCTCCACAGGATTCGCTTGGCAGCGAATCTCTTGAATAAAAACTAGAACGAGGTATGGCTCAAAGTGGGGTGCGGATTTTGGGGTCATGTCCTATCCTTTATGGGTAGTCCGAGGGCCCAGCTACATCCTCCAATCGGCACTGTCTACATCCACCTCCTTTCGGTTCTTCTTCGAAGGTGGCTGCAAGTGCCTGGACGTTTGCATGTTGAAAAAGCACCGGTACATCGGCATATTCAACTCGCCTCTGGCTGGAACCATGATGCTCCCAGTACCTAAGTCACCCCGCAAGTGGCAGGTTAAAGGGAACCCACCGCAGTTTCCGACTTTGATAACCTCCAGAAATGTGTGACTCCCCTTACAACCTAAGTGGGTTGAACCCTGGGAATTGCAACGTCGTCTTGAAACCGCAGAAGGCCCCCAATGACCGTCCCATAGCGTCGCATACCTTCGCTTCAAGGAGGTTCTTTGGCACAGCCGCGCCTTTTGGCTTCACAGAAAACCCCCGAGTAAGGGGGTCCACCAAAGAGGACACAATGAGGTTTTTGCCGCAGGGGTGTGGAGAAATGGCCAACCGCGGGCTCAAAGAACCCGAGACTGGGCCCACCATCCCCGAAAACAAAGAACGCAAGACCCCACCAGCGCCCGAAAAGTCGTCCACACGGCTCTGTTTGTCCTTTCTCGAAAGAGAGACTCTCCAAAGCAAGCTGAGCCCGCCGGCAGGCCCAAGTCGGGTGACGATATGTTGAGAAAAGCTTCCCTGAAGGGCCTAAGCGGATTGGGGGCAAAAACCCGGCTCCTTTTGGAAAGAATTGGATGCCCAAAATTTGGAAACGCTGGGCTTCCTTTCTTTGAACATGCATGCACCCATGTGGCGAAGCCACCATACGCACAGAAACACGCACGATCTTGGTGGTGTGGTTATTGCGTCCTGCATATACCTCTACGGTTTCAAGGTGGCGCCCTAAACCAATCCAACGTGAAACGCACCCAAAAACCCACTTTCAACCAACCCTAAACCAACTTGAGCTGACCGTAAACCTACCCCCAAAAAACAAGAACAAAAAGAAACAAAAGGGGGGAGAAAAAACAACTCCAGCCGACCCACCCGAGGCCCGAGGCCAGCCTGCGCCTCGGGCAGCGAGAAGGCGTTGTCCCCTTTCACCGTGCGCGCCGCGAAGCGGGAGCGCAGCGGGGGGTCCAGGGCCGTGCCCGGGTACTTGGGCACCGGCAGGCCTCGGGTGACCCGAGGCTTGGTCCCCAAATTTCTGGCTGCAGCCGTGAAAGTCGAAGCCGGAAACCTCATCAGAGAGAGCTCCGGTGGCCTCTTTGGCCACGACCTTTTTGAGATGACAAGCTAGGCATTCCTGAAAAAGGGTAGACTGGTTGCACCCGGGGAAAAGGCTGAAGGAAGCCAAGCAAGAGTGGCAAAGGCGTCCGACATAAGCTTTGGATTGGGACCATATCTAAACCAGCGGAGCAATCCTCTTGCCCCACCGTCCTCCGCCTTGGTAGACGGACCTTCAGACCTTCAGACATGACCAAGCCAACAAAACAGAAAGCAACAAATAACAAAAGCAAGCCACACTGCAACACAGCAACGCCGAACGAACGAAAGAACCAAACCAAACTAACGCAAACCAACCCCAACCAACAAAAAAAACCATATTAAACAAAACAAAGCAAAACAAAAAACAAGGGGAAACATCACTACCAAGGGAAGCTCCCCTTGGGCCAAAGGTTGATGCTCGAAACCGCCAAGAAGTTTGTGTTTTTCCCGGGTACTCTTGTTGGGGTTGGTTTAAAGGGAAGCGACAGGTAAACTACCCATCTTCGGGTCCCCCTATTCTTCCCCCAACAGCTGAAAGCTTTGCGTCTTTCCCCATTTAGCTAAGGTTCCGGAGTGGCTGCGGGCAGTAGGGTTCATGCAAGGGGCGGTTCCAAGAGGGGTTGCGGGGATGCACAGCGCGGTTCCGAGTTTTTGGGGATCCTGGGGGAGGTCACCCGAGCTTCAACAGACGAACCCACCGAGCTTTGCGTCCAGGGGCCGATGGCGATCACCAGAAAGTCTTTGGAGACCGGCAACAGGCATCTGCCGCCTTCTGCCGCCAAAGAAATATCCTCCTCCCGCCCCGGCGCCATGAGGAAGCTGCCGTCTTCCAACGACATCTCGCGGTTCTCCTTGGGCGTTTAGGCCTTTCGGGTGGGCATGGCCGAAAATCCCGACCTTGGATCTTCTGCGGTCTTTTCCTGCAGTGGGGCCAACAAGCACCACAAGGACCCACCGCCAATGTCATGACCCTCAGTCAGCCAACCCTCTGGTCATTCTGTTTGCTTTCATTCTTCCAGGGGAGCCCCCAGCCACTTCCCCCCATTTTAACACGACATGGGGGTGGGTCAATATTCTGGTGTGGAACGTTCCGCGGTGACGCGGACGTCTGGAACGAGTCAGTTACGTAAGGTTGGTTGTTCCGGACCTCTGGGAAGACATGTGTGGAGTCCTCAAGCACAGTTCATTTAGTGTAAGATGGATAGATGGATGGATGAATTGATGGATGGGTAGATGGATGGATGAAGCGACCAGGGGCGCGCGGCCTTACCATACGGCACCTCCTTGAAGGCTTCTTGGGCCGCGTAAGAAGTGCAGCTACTTACATGGGGCATGTGTGCGCATGTGGGCTTGGTGGCAAATTGCTCTGCTGCGTCTGGAACGCGTCTGGAACGGGTCTGGAACGGGGTCTGGAACGGTTACGCGAGTGGCTTGCACTTGGGAATGCTAGCAAGCAGCATGTAAACATGGTCGTTTCAACCATGTGACGACTGAGAGCGGTATCGAACCGTTACCGTATCGTATCGAACAAATAGCGGCGGGGTTGACCCTAAACACATGTGTCAACAGAACCGCTGCCCAATTCCATCCAAGTTCCAATGATTACAAGCCACGCAGCCCTAACCACCAAAGCTCAACAAGCAAATCCCATCGTTAGCTCCTCAGGCTTCTCTCGAACACCAGCTTTAACGTGTAGTATTGGGGGGGTCAATAACCTACCAAATCACCTGACCGTCTGAATCAATACTCTAAACTAGACATATACATAAACAAGGTCTGGAACGGAAGGTCTGGAACATGTTTCTAAGCAAGGTCTGGAACGGAGGTCTGGAACGGAGGTCTGGATCGCATGTGGGTTCCGGACCCTGTTCCGGACCTTATAAATTGACTCGCAGCCACATGAACATGACATGGCACCAATAACAAGGCTCGCGCAAGAGGAGATTCCGCTACAAATGAGATGGTTCTTTGTTTGGTTTCCATGTCAATCTGCAGGGCGCTGGGTTCAAAGGCAAACCGCCTCAACCCAGGCTAACAATCGGCTCTTTGCATCACAGGCACCAGGAGGTTGTTGAGCAGCGGCAGCACGTTTCGCTCCGCCTTCTGCATGCCTTCAGTGACCACGGGAAAGAAACGATGTGTTTTTGCCTTCGTGCTGCTAGTTGAATTCAAAGAACACACACACACAGGTTGAAACTCAAGTCACCGCACCTCACAACAAATGACTATGGGGGCACATAAAAGGATGCTCCTTGGTCGACTTTGGATGAGTTCAACGGAAACCCCCAAAATAGCAAAGAAGGTTGCCAACAAACCTACCCAAAGCCTGAGCAACCCTTGTTCCCCCCTTACATGTTTGAGGGAATCAGCCAGGTTAGGACTTCTCCCCCCACCCCACCCAAACAAGAAACAGGAGAGCTTCAGAAGGGCCTGGAAAGGGGCGTTGTTTTCCCTAGTATGGGGGTCTACCTTTCCCAGAATCCCCCAAGAGAAAATGGAACTGGAACCTGAGATCGTGAACAAAACATACCCCCCCTGACTTCAAGGAAATCCTTAAAGTCTTAAACGATACCCTCAACTGGCCCTATTGTATCCCGTAACACCCTGAAAAACCAAGCTTTTTGGAGGTCAAAAAAAAACTGCCCTCACCTCCTCCCCAGTTCCATCAAAGGGGTGGGACGATTCCGCGCTCGCGCACGAGGCGCCTTCCAAGATCAACACGCGCCCGTGCAAGGCTGCCTCCACCGCCGGAGCGTTGAAGAACACCAGCTGGCCCTCAAAGCCGTGGAGCGAGTCGGGCGGCCATGCAAACCCGGCTTCTCAGAATCACCGAGCCGATTTTCCAGCATCCCTGATGGCTCAAACCATCAAACAAATAAAAACAAGATCCGAAGGACCGCCATCTTTGCAACAACGGGACCAGCCTCAAGGATCTCCCGCCGTTGCTTGAGGTCTGCCTCCGTTGTGTCGCGGGTGATGCCAATGTACTCCACCTCGCGATCGGCAAATTGATGGGGGGCCCTTGATAAGCAGTCCTTTCCACGCCGAACTCTCTGGTGGTTTCGGATTGTGAATTCCCGGGCCTACCCGCCCTTGAAAAGTGGGCATTGCCCCAAACATGATGAATGAGTCTTCGTTCTTCAGAGTAGTTTGAGGGTCCAGCAGATGTGTTCGCCTGGATTTCGTTGCTGCCTACCTTTTGCGGTGGGCATGGTGAGTGCGCACGCAAGGATATGGAAGGGCAGTCCAAAGAGCAAAGAAAGGACACCCATTCGGTCCCAAAAACTGAGGCAAGGACGAATTGGGACTAAGCCTGCGTTTGCCTAACATCCCTCGACTAGCAAAAAGCAGGCTGGATAGCGGCATCCATACGCTCAAACACACGCGCACGCCCGCACGTAAAGAGACAAACAGAAAAACAGACAGACAGACAGACAAACAGACAGACAGACAAACAGACAGACAAACAAACAGACAGACAGCCAGGCAGGTGGACAGACAGACAGACAGACAGCAGACAGATGGACGGCCAGACAGACAGACAGAAAGACGGACAGACAGCCAGGCAGGTGGACAGACAGACAAACAGCAGACAGATGGACGGGCAGACAGACAGACAGACAGACAGACAGACAGACAGACAAGCAGGCAGGCAGGCAGGCAGACAGACAGACAAACAAACAGACACGCAAACAAACCAAACCAAACAAACAAACAAAACAAAGCAGAGCAAACCAACCAACCAACAAACAACAGAGACAAAGACAACCACAACCACAAACATAAATATAACCACACACACACACCACTCGCACGCTGACTTCGCCACTTTCAGCTTGCTCTCGGGAGCACCTCCCGTCCCATGGCGGCCGCAAAGTGCAACGCCATTGCCCGGAGATGTGGGCCCGGGTCGCCCAGCAGGAACATGTCCTGAAGCAAAAAGACACACACACACACACACACACACACAACATTTGTAGGAACAAAGGCGACGGATCTGCGCATAGCACAACAACATTCCATGAAAGGACCTTGAGCTGGTATGTATCTTGCACATGCTTCCATGCGTCAAAAAGTCGGCTTTCCATGCTTCCGGGAATCGACAAGAAGCCAAAACCTGTCCACCCCGAACACAGACACTTCCAGGGTCCTGGCCCAGATGGAACTTCTGCGACATCCACATGAAAAGGCTCTCGTCTGCAGGCAGCTGTGCACCCCGCACTGGCGGTACCACTGGCAGCTTCGCGCCCGCCCGCATGGGAAGGGAGTGCGCCATGGGCTCGAGGCGCAAGGCGGGATCCGGTGCCGCGGATTCCGCGGCTTCCGTCTCCTCCGGCTCCGGAGGCGGCGCAAGGGGCTCCAAAATCACCCGAGGCGCCTCTGGGGGGAAGGGCGTGCTGCTGGGCTTCCCCGACAGCTCCTCCTCCAGCTGGTCATAATCGAACATGGCGCGTGAGCCAAAACTGCGGCCAGCTGCCCTACAGTCCCTCCATTTCGTCTCCAAATGAGGCTTCATTGGATCCCCCACCAGCAAGCTGCGAAGTTTCACCCGGAAACAATCACACTGACATCCTCACACATACGCTCTAAACTGGAATTTAGGAGAAAAGACAACAAGTGGCCACCGGCACCAATTGCAAGGTCATGACAAACCCAGACCACGCCATCACTTCCAAGCTTTGTACAAAAGCCGATTTGGGTTTGCAAGCGTGTGCCGCATGCTCTTTACAGCCTGGGATTTGGGAAGTCGACGCAGCTTTCGGCTGAGGCCGCACGCCCCATGGAGCTCGTTGTCGTTGTACTCGCTCAGCACGTGCGCGTACTTGTCCAGTACAGCCAGTCGCGACCTGGCAGCTTGCTTGCTTATCAAGGTGGGAACTAGGCAGGAACTGGTTTAGAGTCCAAGAAGCGCATCATGTTTCTGAGTTGTGTCAAGTGAACCACTGGAAGAGGTACAAGTTCCATTGAACAACTGGCAAAGCCTTTGGCAAGACTTTGTGTTTCCGCTTGTTTCCGCTTCTCACCCCACCCTTTCCCCCCGCGCCCGCTGATGCCGCCAGAGTCGGTGCTGGCAAAGGTGCAGCGCAGGCGCACGTCCTCCGCAAAGATGATGTTAACCCCGGATTGATAAACCCCTAGTTGATTAATAGGGGGGTGTCCCCTTTTAGTGGGGATTCATCACTTTTGGAGGGCACACCTCCCTAATAATGGACGGGTCTAATTTATTCATCCTGGGTCAACATTAGGGGCCACGATTGCTTCTTCCGAGATAGATCAAGGGCGGAGAAAACCTCAAACGAGCTGCGAGGATTCAATTCGTTTGCCCAAAAATGCCGACTGCTCACATTGCCATCATCCCCCACGAGAGCCGCATAGATTGGACAGAGGCGCTGGGTGCCCAGTGGCGGAGTGCGCGGAGGTGGGTGAGAGGCTGGATGCTTCCAGTCAAAAGTGGTTGCACCACAACCCCTGCGCACCCGGCACCGTCCCTTGCCCAAGAAAGAAGGACTAAACTCGCAGCAGGGAAGACATCGGCACAACCAGGAAGGTTTGGCCATCAGGTGTCTCCTGACCATAAGGTGTCTCCCGAAAGGCATTTCCAAGGGAAAATATCTGCCCCATCTCGTCCCACGTGGCCCACCAGAAGCCCCGCCCCTGCCGGTCCTTCAAAACAAGATAGGAGTCTCCGTACTGCCTAGCTGGGATCACTCCCCGGTAGTCGTTCATGACCTCAGTCGTTTCCCAAGCCTCAAGCAAACATCCCCACGCTGTCCGAGAGAGAGTGATCAGGGCTAGCCAAAGGATGAGTCATCTCTCGTTTGGTGCCAACAGCTTCCACCGCCATGCCTTAACGGCTTGGGGGATTTCATCACTACACCACCTGGGGCATTGCCCAACGATCCATGGACTCTTCGGCCGCACCCATACAGCAAAGGGATTTCGGAACTGGATGCCGCCCCTGGTAGCAGGAAAATCAAGGGTTCACCGGTCCACCTTTTAGCACCATACGAAAAAATGGCCAAAGGGATCAACCCAATAATCCAATTCGCCTTGGACGAAAGCGCAGCGACTCCACGCAGCGATCTCGCCATCTAGGCTGCCCCGACGCTCAGAGCGCCATACTTACAGCGGTCGAAGGGCTTGGCATCGTCGTAGGCACCCCCGAAGAGCTCCTAAGATTACGAAAGCACGACCCCCCACCCCGCCCCATCCTCCTTTTGAACATGTTGCGAGACCGTTCTGGGAGTATTATAGGCTTACAAGACTGTTCCAGAATTTCTTGCTCCCCAGATTCCCTCACAGGCTTCCTCCGAACACAGGCGCAGTTGGGGGGGCTGACGGCCCCCCTTCCTCAAGTCTTCCAGTCACCTACTGACTGTCCCAGTCTCAAAAGGGTGGGGGGGGGTAAGTTCAGTTCAAGCGGTTTAAGTTGAAGGGTTCAAGCGCCTCAGACCATGGTGCTCCAATAACCCAAGCACACCTAAGAGGACGAACCAAGGAAACCCAACGCAGGCCACGGGACACACTCAAAACTCAAAGCCCCTCGCGCGGCTTCGGAGAGACACAAAAATGTGGCAGAAGGCGATGCCGAACGCTGAAGCAACAAAATCATGGGATCGCCTTTGAACTGAGGGTACTCTTTTTTGGGGGTGCCAAAAGGGAGAAAAAACAGAAACCACCCGGAACAACGAGGGGTCCCTGTCTATTTGAGCGAGCGGGAAGCCTTCTCCCAGTTCTGGCGGGTGAGGTTCTGTGGATCCAGGGCCTGGCAAAAAGGCGGGTTCTTCTTGCGTCCATGAGTCAACTTGGACCTCCCCTCCCCCCCCCCCCCCCGAGGTTTGGACATGGCAAAGAGCGAAAGAGCGGGAGGGCGCAGCTTCAATTCGAGCGGCCTAAGGCCTGTAAAATCACTGCACCCGGACTCCCAGGAGCTGCTCTTGGAGCGCTTGGAAAAAAGGACGACTCCTTTTTTTCCTTTCGCCTCTTCGATCTGCTTTTCCTCGGTTCCCCTGTTGAGACATTCACCCCCCTTCCCTTGCCCTGCCATGCTCTGGATGGAGGGGTTGGAAAAAATGACAATCTGCTCATTTTTTCCGGCTGTGTGTTGAGATACTTTGGGGGAATGTAGGTACCCAGCACGAGTTTCTGGGCACAGCATGGCACAGGCCGGGCCCACGCCGCAGCTCGTCTTTGTTTCGAACTGGCTGCGGTAGAACTCGTCGATCTGGGCGAGAGGATGTGCGCGAGGAATCATCTTGGCCGTGCCTTTTGGGTTGGTCGTTCGATTGGTTTTAAACACCTTCTGGGAGCACCATGATTTTGAAACAACCCCAAATTGCATTCCGAGAAAAGGCTGGCCCCGCCAGAACTGGCCCAAACTGGCCAGAAAGGCAGCCTGAGAAGACTCCATGAGCTTTTAAAGGAGGGCGGGTGGGCATGAGGCCTGCGTTTTCGCAGTCAGCATCACACACAGTTGGTAAGGCACATGATGTGATCAAACTTAAAGCCTTGTCATGTCAAATGTTCAAACCAATAATAGAACTGAAATTGCAGGTTCTTTGAGTGTCTATGTTGGTCACTCTTTTTAAGGGGAAATTAGAAGACGCAAACAGCTTGTCTTTGTGTACTAGGTTGTCTTCAAATTCCTAATGAGATCCAAGAAAGTAAGTCCTGAGAAAACAAGTCCTCTCTAATATCAAGTTTTGAAAAGTGAGTTCAAATTAAAGACCTATTTAGACTGAAAGCCTTGCAGCTTAAAACTTGCAAACAAATGGAACTGATGTTGCGTGCTTCCTGTGTTCCTATTGAGCTTTTGCAAGCAACAGAACAAGCTGCAAACCGAATGTCTGGAAGTGAAAATGCAAAGACCTCTCAGGCGGAAAAAAACAAACTGCAGACCTTATGGGACTGGACAGGCTAGGCAGGGGGGGCATAGGGTCTGCAGCTGTTCTTTTTTGTTTTTTGGAAAACTGTGTTCTTCACATGTTTCCAACGGACCCCACGGATTTGGACGGAGGCACGGCAAACACGGGGATCGCAATTTGTGCCATAGCTTGCAGCATGTGTGTGTGTGTGTTGCGCTGCCTGGTGGACAAACAAGGTGTCTGGGTACTTGTTGAAGGATGCAAGGGAGCACCGGCTTTCAGATGCTTTCAAGCCAAGATTGCGCAGATACTTAGGTTGTGTTCTGAGCGGTGCGCAGAGCTTTCCCATGCGCTGACCTCTGTCTTTGATCCGGTAGGATCCAATTGTGGGATATGCAAAGTTTGCTTTGGCTTCTTTTCTCTGTTTGCTTTTGGACAGCTCGAGGTTGTTCACACTTTCATTTCAAGACATAGGGCTTGCAGTTTTCTGTTGTTAAACAAAACTCGAGGTTTTGTATGTTCATTGCGCAGAAGCGTGGACCTACCAAGCAAATCTCACCTTAAATTGGCCCAACCTGATCTTGAACCCCTTCGATTAGATGCTCGCAGGCCGCCGGCGTGCTGAATGCACGTCAACGACCCTGGGATCTGAGATTAGATCAGCAGCCGACAGGCTTCACGCTCAAAGGGCCCAAGAATTGTGCAATTCAGTCAGGTTGAACCTGGAAGAGGCGAATCCCCCAAAGAATCCGGCAGTTCTGTCAGGGTTCACAATCAGATCAGGAAAGGCACACCGGCACACTCTCTCAGGCTCCATGGAACGGTTCCATGAAACACATCAGCCAGGCGTCAAAACGTCCAAACGCCCAAATCGCCACCCGCCTCCATGAAGGCACCCATCTTGTCCAGGTGTAGGTGCACCACCACCGGCGCCAGGTCCTCCCATTTCTCTTTTTTTTTTTTTTCTTGGGGGGGGGGGGGGTTTTGGGGAGGGGATGGGAGGCGCCCACCCAAAGAAGGGGGAGTTCGCGGTCAGGCCGCTCGCCGGAAGTTTGGATCAGGCTAGGCTGGCGCTCGGAGGGAGGGAGAAGGCTGGACTCAAACCTGGGAATTCGGAGTGAAGATGTCCTGAATCCAGTCCAGCACGGTGCCAAGCATTTCGTCACCTCTGCCGGGTCAATCCCCGCGTCACCCCTCCCAGCGCGCGCAGGCTGGATGATGGTATTCGATGCTTGGGCAAACTGCAGCATAGAACGCTGGCGAATTTCATTGATGACATGCCCACTCATTGATGGAGCCCACATTTGTAGAACAGACCCGTGTCATGCCATGTCATGCCAGGATGTACCACCCACTTTGGTGTGTTTCAATTTGTTGCGCAATATGCCATGAAAGCTAGCATTGGCCACCATCCTCACAAGCACTAGAAACACTTTGAAGATTGGCATGCTGGTGCTTCGGCTGCCGTTGCCTCCATTTGGTGGTGGGGAGAGTGTGGTTGCTTATCATTTACAAGAGCCTCAAATCCCCACCATCCAACCCGCCAATTGGATCCAGTTCGGGACAACCTGACCGTACCTTCAGCCATGCCACTGGACGCCTGCAGTTTCCGCACGCCTCCCTCAGAGCCTCTCCTCACCCCACGAGCCCCGCGCCGTAGCCGAGCTTCTGGAACCTTTCCCGAACCCGCGGCAGGGCCTGGCAAGAGCGCCGATTTGAAGGAACCCCGTCTTTTGGGTTTCCTAAGCGAGTCTTTCCAAAATTTGATCATCCGCCTTTTTGGAATCCCTCACGCCCTCATGCATTGCAATATAAGAACCTCCTTTTTTGGAACCAATGCGAGAGCCCCATTCTTGCGGAGGGGCAACCCGATGTTTGCAGTGTGGCTGTAAGAAAAATGTCTCGGTTTGAGGGGGGGAATCCGTGAGATCTGGGATTCTCTTTTCACTTTTCACCCAGGTACTCTCAGGTGGCTCCACTCTGAGAACCCGGGTCAATTCAAGGTGCTGGCAAGTTCTCTCGCATTATTTGCTTCTGATCATGAAATGGCGAAAGTTTGGACCCTTATATTACCCGTTCCATCAGACAGGTGCCTCCGCACTTGTTTTCTGGTTGGGAGGCAAAATCGGTGTCAGGAGAGGGCCCTCCAAAATTGGCTGTCCGGCATAGTGTGCCTTGCAACTAGGGCCCTTATTTTGTTGTACCATGTCAACATTAAACTCAATGAAACTCAGAAGAACAAAAACAATGACTTGCAGCCAATCAGACAATCAGCGGTGAATGCAGCACCCAAAATTCGCAGGAGTTTGGTGGCATACTTGCTGATGCACGGTGTGGATCCTTCCCGCGTCAAAACGCCAGCTCCATGGGAATATGCATGGAGGAGCACCACGGTAGCAAAGTGAGACTGACTCACAACCAGAATATGTGCAGGAACCCCTCTGAAAACTGCTTGTGAGCAGCATCTGCGGCATTGACTCCAACATGTCTATAGCCTCGAGTTCTCCCCTCGTTGACCCCTTCCCTTCCAGGCCTCGTCGTGCAGCTTCGTGGCCTCCGGGCAAAGAACAATGCGCCAGGGCTGCCACTTCGGTTCGGCAAACAAAACATGTGACAACAACCAACCTGGCCGCCTTAAAAGGGAACCCCCAGGGATAATGTTGCATCTGTTCGGCCGCGATGAAGCTGAGGAGGTGTCACCGCAAAGGCTTCAACTGAGCATCGCCGCTCGGCAAATGCCTGGTCAAGCACGAGTTAAGACAAGTCGTCCTCGTTTTATTGGCGTGCAAGCAGGGCTACCGTTTGTATCCGTTTGTGTGCGCTGTGTGCGTGTGTGCCATGTGCAGGGCCAGAAACCCCAAAACCCCGGCCGCTTCGTGCCTGCGCGCGCACCGTGTACAAGGCCTTCCTCTGGCAGCCCTCCAAGCGCGCAATGGCCTGCATCTCCTGGCGATTTGACAGCTTTTCACCTCTTGCTTCTGCTCGTTTATGAGTTTTCTTGGGGGGCAATGTGAAGAATCTCCTCTTAAATCGCACACCCCGAGTAGTCGGCCAGGGGCTTTGATCCTGGTGGGCTTGTAAGCTTCTGCCTTCGTGACAGGGAGGGCGCTAAAGCCCACAAGCGACTTCTCGAAACCGGAGCCCAGCTTCCAATATAAGGCTGTGGTCAAAACCAATGAGATCCCATTTTGGTTGGTAGGTGAGGAAAACCACCCAGTTCAGTCTATTGTAGTCGGGATTGGAATGTTCACTGGGGGTACGATTTGGAGTTTGAGAAGCCCATGGCCATACTGTATCTTATTCATTGTGTCTTGTGGCTTTAGGTTTACTTTGAAAACTTGAGGCAATGAAGAAGACAAGACCGGACCAGGACAACCTTCTGAACTGCGACGGGCAAGGGCCCACACTTTCAGCTGCCATCGGCCCGTGTAATTGGATCTTGGGGCTGGACATGATGGGGCCTTGCGAGAGCTTCAACTGTCCTGGAAGAATCGGAGTGCGCTGGATGAAGAGAACCCCCACAAAACAGGAGCATGATTACGAGGCTGCTATTGGTCGGGGGTCAACGCTGCCTTTTCCTCAATTTTAAAGGGAACCCCCTCCAAAATAATTAACATTTTAACACAAAAACTTCTTTTGGAGGACTCCCTTCTCAGGTTCCAGGTGCATTTTGGCAGAGTGGCCGAACCGAAACCCGACAGGACAGCCGATCCGTGCTGGGCCGCCCCGGCCGTCTCAGGTAGCAGGAGCCCCCAAAAGGCCTGCAGGGGGGAGTTTGGGCTCTGGGCCATCTGAATGAATAGGAAACCATGCCTCATGAAGTTCGTGAACCGAGCTGGCATGAACCCAAATCGGTCGTTGAAACCACTGGAACTCGATCATCAGCTTCCCACACAGGTTCGGCAGTTTCTTGAAGAACTCTTTGGGGACTGGCCGGCTAGCCCCGTCCAACCTATCAAACAACCCGCGCATGGGGCTGACAAGACCTGAAAACGTCGTGGCAGCTACACAGGGAGCGTTATGACTGCTGTTCGTGCTGAAATTCCAAAGTGATGTGGGCAAATCCCTTCACTAGGCATCTAGTTGTGCAAGCTACTTGATTCAAGTCAACCCCCATCCAAAAGCCGATGCCTTTGCCAGAGCGAGGGCAGAAGTTGACCCCCGCGGGCTGATGGCCATTACGCCCTTCATGAGATGCCAAAAACAATGCCTCGATGATCTGATGAGGACATTCAATGAAGGAAAATTCAGCCACTTGACCCCGGTCAATGACTGCTGCATTCGAGACTAAAAGGTTCGGAAGCTTCTGTCCAAGAAGCTTGCCGCGATCCAGTTGGTAATGAGTCACTGCCAAAACTCGCAGAGTAGGCGACATTTCAGCGTGAAACCACGCTCACACCAAGGATCTGCTACGGTAACCTTGCTTCGGGCTGCTTCCCTCAAACATGCCTTTGACACAGTTGCGTGGTTGCACGCTGGCTAAGATTGTCGAAAGGACAACCCGAGCGCTACCGCTGCCCAACTTGCAGTTTCTGGCAGGAACTACCCCAACCATTGATCATCGGTTTTTGAGACCTCCCCCACATGTGGGGGTCCGAGGGCAATCCAAACAAAGAAACTACCCCACATTCGACCGACCGGACACCTCCATTCCGGGGAAGCCACAGGAAGATGATGGTTGCCATGATGCCATGTCTCTCACTTCTTGTTTTCTTGGCGTCCTTCATTTTTTTTTTAAAAAAAAAATGGACGAACCACACCCCTTGGCTTTTACGCCAAAGCCGAAAACGGGCGGCTTCAACCACCGCCCGCCGCCCGCCGGGGGTGAAACGCTTCCCCGCCGGCCTGCTGCTCGTCCAGGATCCCAGACTCCCGCAGGGCGCTGGCCACCGAGGCGTCCTGCGCAGAATTTTTTGGGAGGAAGAGTCGTGGCTGGGAGGGGTCTGGCGCGGGGGAACGAACCCTTCCAGAAAAAATATGGGCGGGTGGCGGGTGGAATTTTGGCGCAAGCAAGGGGAATACCCGAAAAAAGAGGGCGGTGTTCTCCTTTTTGGGTGTGGTGGCGTCCTATTCACCAACAACCTTCTTGTAGGACACTTTAGTAAGGAATGTATTTAAACTCATGAGGGTCTTTCTAGTTACCCAGTTTCAACCAGCGACCCAAACGCTCGAAATAGAATCGGATCCATTTTGTTTTGGTTGGTTGATTCCACTGTTGGTGGTTTCGGAACCCGCCAGAGAAAAACCGAGTTTATCCAACAAGTGTGGATGATCATGAATCCCCAATTACAAACAATCTGGCAATGCTGTGACCTGCCTGTAACACTGATTCACGACCAGAAATATACGTTGGTGTAAACTCGGCCAACCGTTGATGGCTTCCGTCCTCAAGTGGCTTCTATCAATGTTGTTATGCAGTTCGCTTGGTTTATCATGCGTGGCGTCAAATTGACAGCACCACCAGCATCCTTAGGAACTCCATGTAGGAACCATGAGCCAAACACCTCAAGATGGAGGTAGAAAACGGCACATCAGCGGAAAGTTTGCTGCTCCGGATTTCGCGGCTTTCCCGCTTGCCACGAACCGGCTCACGAAATGTAAAGCCACACACATCGGCCAAACACCGGCGAAAGCTTGCAAGCTCAGTCACAGACAGTTGTTCAGTGACTCTGGTGGAACTCTGTTTGGGTTGATTCCATGTGTAGCAGGGTCGCCACTACCAGCAGCGGTTTGAAATAACTTGCAGAAACCGGGCCCGGGGGTTAAACGTTCTTAATGAATTGACACACAGGCTGGGTGTCCAAAAAAGAAACGAACAACGACAACGAAAGACGGACGAAAATGGAACCCATTGAGCTTTCTCTGAACTCGGGTGGGAAGCTCCGGCCTCGACACCGCTGAGGATCCAGGTGGGTGGCACCACCTGCCATCTTCCAAACCAGCTGGAACAACTTTATGGTGCCACTTTTCTGGCGGCTGACTCAAAAAAGAAGCCCCCCCAAACCAAAAAACATCGGAGGTCAATCCCTTCGATCACACCCTCTGCCTGGCGGGCCACCCACTTCCGCGTGCTCTCGTTGCCGAAGCCGAACTGCAGCAAGACGCCGAAGGTGCCTCGCTCGCATCGAGCGGCGCGAGCTTTCCCACAGCCCTTTGGGGCAAAGGCCGCTCGGAGCCTGAAGGCTCAAGGACCGACGAATGCATTTTGGGCAAACTGGTCTTTGAACCGCGCCCCCACGATTGCGGGAAGCGGCTGCGCCGCTGCGCCAAAGTTTTGGCCGGCCTGGCCCCATGTCGGCCTTGCCGAAGTGCATGTGCACGCCCACCTTCAACACCTGGTGGGGCTTGCTAAGGCAAGAGCACTTTGCCAAGAGACGCCTCGATCCCTCTCAGCCAGTACATGGGTATGGTATGCCAAGTGCGGTTTTGGGCGAACACGAAGTAGCCCAGGGAAGCAAATGAGCACAAAGTAGATCACGATGTACCCAAAGCACCCGGAAACACAACTCGGGTGAAGCTGTGGATGATGACCGGGTTGAGGAAGTGACGGTTGACAAAGGAGAAGTATGGGGATGTTTGAAATCAAGTTGAAGAGGATTAAGTTCAATACCAAGCCCAAGTAGAACAGCGCGACCCACCGAGCACCTCCTACACCCAGCCGCCCGCGGCCCCGACCCTTTTCGGCTCGAGGACGAGGAAAGCTGCCAGTGAATGGCGCTCGAGCGTGAGTCCTATCCCCACTTGACGGGAGGTAAAAACTTGAGCCAAACGGCCATTCGGCCGATTTGCTTATGATAGAACAACACGTGAACGAAACACACCCCCCTCATCCGATTTCTGGACGAGAGAAAGGATGCAAGACAGTTGAGTTCACGACGAAAGGAACCACCCAAAAATGCCAGTGTCAACTCAGAGGTGAGCCAAACGGCAGCACCTGGGCCCCAGTTAAAATCCCGCCACCACCCCGAATTATCGGGGCGACAGGATTATTTGACGAATGGGCCACGTGAGTGAACAAGGACATATTGGAGGAGCCAGACGAAGATTCCTCTCGTGCCGTTCATGTATTGTCATGGGACAGCAACATGCGGAGGGGGACCCTATCTGGATCACCGCGCCTCACTGCATGTCGTAATGTGGTTGGAGGAGGTACCGAGTTGGGAGGAAAAGGAAAGAGACGTTCCGAAATTGGTGAGAAGAATATCCGGCTACGGCCGGCCCGGCACTTCTAGTGCGGTCACAGCCTCACACAGGATCGCCAGGGGAACCGTCTCCAGCGCGCACGGCAGCGGTGCGGGAGGAACACGAACAACGCCGGATCAGCGGCACAGGGCAATGGAGACCATCACCCCCAGCAGTGCCGCATGGGCAAGAGGAGGATCGGTGCGGTCGCGTTTTTCGGCGACACATGCGCCATCCTCGCCCTTCTAAGGCGGATGCTGATTGCGGTACCTGCCTACCACCCTGAACCGGGTTCTTCCCGGTCTCTGGGTGCATCATCTCTCCGACGTCCACCGCGGTCACCTCGATCGCCTCCTCCGTCCCGACGGCGATCCTCACCACTGTGGTCGCCAGCCGGAGGTCGGCGAGGCGGAGGGGGATCTGATTGGTGACGTCGGTCATCCCTGCGCCGGTCCCTGTGGCGATCGCGACGGTCATCGGGCCATCACGTCCGCGGCGCTCATCTCGCCCCGGACCGCGCCTCTCGGAGGGCTCCTCATGGCGTGGAGGAGGTCGGCGATCATCGCGTCGGCCTCCGCGGGTATCCCTGCCACGATCATCCCTTTGTCGGGGCGGGCCAGGATCCTCGCGTCCACCTTTACCAGGTCGGTGTCTCCCTCGACCCTTCGCCTCACCCTAGGGCCGCGACGATCCTCGCGGGCCCCAAGCGCGGTCCTTGATCGATCGTCATCTCGGTGGGGTCGCGACTCATTGGCCGCACGAGTGGTCCGAGGCACGCCCGGGGGAAGCTCCCATTCTTCGTCGTCGTCATCGCGCGGGTCATAGCCGCCACGGCCGCCCAAGGAACCAGTGGCATCCCGTGGTGGGGACGCAGGAGTTCCGGGACTGCCAGACCGAAGACGAACCCGGGGAGTCGCGTCCTCGCCGGTAAAAGGATCCTTCTGGGTGTAGAAACCCTTGGTTCTGCCCCTTCTCTCCCCTCCTTCCGCACCGCTTCTCGCGGGGACCGGGGACGGACGGGCAGGCTGGGCCAAGCTTCCAGATTGTTCAGTCGTCATCGGGCGGGTCAAGCCGCCACGATCCCATCTCGGGACTACGACCCGGGGACCACGTAGAAATGCCCCTTCTCTCCCCTCCTTCCGCACCGCTTCTCGCGGGGACCGGGGACGGACGGGCAGGCTGGGCCATGCTCTTGGAGCTGGGTTGCCCGCCAGGCGGGACGTGAACGCCCCCCTGCCCTTTCTCGGGCGCAGGGACCCGACCACGAGATGTCCTCCTGGCCTTGGGTTGGTCGGCGTCAGCCTCCAGCTCGGACTCGGTGTCAGGGACACGAGTATTGACGGCCATGTCCTCTTCCTCAAACGGATCCCCAGCCGTTGTAACGCCCGCAGCAATAGGAACGGGGGGAGGAGGAGGAGGAAGTGGCACAGCTCCGCCAGAACCGACGCCTGTGTGGGATACCACGGGAGTCTCCGGTTCTACCGGGACAGGCGGCGCGGGAGGAGCCGGGGGCGGTGGCGGAGGGGGAGGGATCTCCTCCTCATCGTCGCCCATGGGCTCGTCAAGGTCATCAGGCTTCTCATCGTCTTCGTTCGAAGATCCATCCGATCCCAGCTCATCCTCCGCTGATCCAGCAAAGTCGGGCTCTTCTTCGTCTTTCACGCCGGGGCCTGGTGTAAGGCGGATTCCGGGTCGATGGCGATCGCGGGGTCGGAAGCGGTATTTCCTGGGTGCAGGATCGGCCAGCTCCTGTTTGATGTCGTCCTGGGTTTGCGGACGGTCGGCCAAGCATGTGTCGTAGGCAACGGTGGACGTCCGGTAGATCAGCTCATCCATACTGCTGAGGTCGTTGAGCGTGTAGGCGTAGCCCTTCTTTACGCCTTCCCGTACCGTGTCCATAGCCTGCTTGAGCCGCGCGGCGGGATCGAAGCCGGCCCTTCTCCGCATGGCTTGCATTACTCCACAGTGTTGTGCGAGCAGTTCCACCTGGGCCTTGAACGTCTCCCCGGACACATCGTTCGGGAGTATCGGAGAAAGATGCCCGGATCTCAGCCCAATGATATGAGCTTCGACCATGTAGTAAGACGTGTAAAAGCCGCAGCGGTTGGCGTTGAAGTTTGCGGTGGTTAGGCGTCTGCCCCACTCAGCCGCATACCCTTCATATTCTTCGAAGAAGTCGCGGACGGTGCTCCCGTTGAAGGCAAGACCCCTTACCAAGATCGCCTTTGCGACCCACTCTTCCACATTGTGGTCAACAGTGTCACGGTATTTGCCATCAAGAACCTCGTCTCGGAGCGAGTCGTGGAGTCTCCGGAAAATGCCGTCCACGTCCTCTTTGTCGAGGTACTTAGGAGGTCGCATCCCAGACATCAGCAAGGGCCGGGCGTCAACGGCGGGACTCTGTGAGTAGAGGGCCATTCCGATGGCGTTGGCGTCTGCGTTGTTCCACAGAGCGGGGACGACGCCCCCGTATTTCCCCAGCCAGCTGGGAATCACCCCGTCAGTGCTCGCTATCGTGCGAGGGCCGCCGTCCGTGTCTCCGGTGGGCAGGACGCCCTCATAGAAGATGGGAAGGTAGCAGGCGGTGCATAGGTGAGCGCCGATCGGATGGGCCGTCATGCACCTATGGCATGGAACAGACAGCACCTCGCGGACATGCTCCGCCTGTCTTCTCCATCTCGTCCCGACACTTCCTCGGGTTCTCACTCACGGAGCTGAGGAAGTTGGGCGGATAGCACCAAGGCCTCAAGTACATGATGGAGCAGTCCTCCTTGAAGTAGACGCATCTCCAGTACCCGATCGCGATGTTCTCGCGCGATGCAAAGGTACCCTGACGAGTAATATGCATGCCCCCATTTTCCATGGAGAAGAAACGTGCATCGAGGGCCATGACCACATATCGGGGATCGCTCCTCTGGCGTCGACCCGAGGTGTGCAGCTCCGTCACATTGCTGTCAGTGATGCGGTCGACAGTGTCGTTGGGGCATTCACCGTGATCGCGGATGGGTTGGTATTCATCCGGCCTGGAGGGGAGGAGCTCAATCATGGCTCGCCCACCCCGAATGATCGCTCCACGTTCTACGTAGAGCCGATACATCCGGAGAGGCACCACCTTGTAGAGTGTCTTGGGAACCACCTTAGAGGTGACAGGAAGACAAACAGGGCTCTCGTAGAGCAAGTATTGATATCGTTCACGAAATGCTCGGTAATCAGTGTCAGATCCGATCTCAAGCGACCTTACCGCCGCTATGCGGGCGGAACCAGGCAGCAATCGACGTTCCTTGTCACGAATGACGGTGATGATGATCTCGAACATTCCCACCCCGTCTTCGAGGAAAGAAGACAAGAGGTACAATGAAAAGGCATCCTCAGACTCGATGCTGGTCCCGAAGTAGTGGCTCAGGAACTTCTTCAGTTGTATCACCGAAGTGACGTTCCCTTGCCCGCTGGCAGACGAGGCCTCCAATTCTGGGTCCTTGACCGCGCCTGCATTTCCAGGCTGCACGGCTGTTCCACGGAGCGCGTCGCGTATTTCCGCGCATGCTCTCCTGCAATAGTGCGAAGAGGCGCCCGCCCTACTCTCCACCTTCTGACGGATCTCGTCGGCGAAGTAATCCAGGAGCTCCGTGGGGGCGGGAACAATGGCCTGGATCATCAGGTCAGGGTCACTCCTGGTCGGGAGGATAGGTCCTGCTCTGGACCTCACTCCCATCTCCAGGAATCGGGCAATATCCCCGACTTTAGCGCACAGAGTGGCGACCGTGTTTCCGATCCTGGGGGCGATATCTTCGCCTCTCCTGGCGCCGAGAATGACCACATTCTTCTTGATGGACTCCTCCTTCAGCTTCTCGAGGTTTCGCCGGGTGGCCTCAGTGCCCTTCACCGCGCTGAGGCGGAGAACAGCAGGCTCTGGTTTGTCCGGTCGCACGAGCTGGCCGTCGGGAATCTGGTCAAAGATACGCGAGGCGGATTTCACTGCTGGAACGTTCCTATACTGACCCGGCACACTGTAAAAGGCGTAGGAGAGAGTGTCATGCAAACATGTCTCCCAATACGTGTACTCCTCGGAATCACGCGGGTCGCCAACGACGCGACTCACGGTCCTCAGCTCGGCCAGAGCACGCTCCGCCTCGAACTGTGAGCCGATGGTCGT